TATTTTTTTAGGAAGTCTCATTGCTGCATATAAATAACCAGCAGAGCACAATGTTTCCACTTACTGGAACAACAATCACAGAAAGACTCATTGGAATAATGAATTTGATTTCATCTTCTTACTAAAGGATTTGTTGGACCCTCCAGCCATCCATGCCGGTAATTTACGTTTTGTTGACGATGACAAGCTGTTTGATTCTAAAGACTGTGATCTTGATAATGTTGACTTCTCCTGGAATGGAAGATGAAATTAAATCAAATGGAGTTTTGCATCCTACCTCTTGCAGTATTAAGTAAGTAAACTTAAGTCCGAAAAATTACCCCATTCTCTTGATATTTCAAACTTTTTATGCTCATGATGAAGACAGGGCAATGTAATACAGTACAGTATGTAATGAGGAAACATACATTAGTTATGAATCACCCTTGCTTCAAACCAATTCTTGAACCTTACCAGAGTCTGGCTTGAGACTTCATCCATCAAATCTTTCTGAGTTTCCTGTGGATCAGTATTTAATGATGGGCTGGTTATTTCAGGACACAAAGTTAAGTCCCCAGCTGAATTAACTGTCTGGCCATATTGTTTGGTCAACAGACAAATCACTACCCTAATATGGTTATATTGGATATAGTCTGGAACCTGGTCTTTTATTTTAGTTATACTACTTATCACTGAAAAGAAAAGATCCACTGTGAAGTGTAAAACCTAGGGTATAAATAGGTAACAGAATGAATGGAGGACAACCGTGTTGGTTTGAGTACTACCGATCATTGAAAATAAAGATCCATGGTGGGTTGTAAAACTGTGGGTACAAATAGGGAACAGAATGAACGGGGGGCAACTGTTGGTTTGATATTTGAATGAAATGTAGACATGTTGTGGAAGGGCTACAGCCATCTTAGCGTTTGCAAGGAACTGTGAATGGATGGATGGACACTGGTGTCGACGATGTATAAGATTTCAACTATATTTTTCAACAACTTTTCACATGAAATTACACATTCAAGTCAGAAAAGAGGACTTAGAAGATAAAAATAAAACCTACAAGAATTGATAGGTGGTCCTTTTATAATTTAAATAAAAGAGTGTGCACAAGTAATATCACTATTATGGCAGTTATGTTACGTTTTCGGCTGTAAACAGCCAACCAATTAAAGTAATATACCAACCAGAATGGATGGGTGGGCCTCTTATAACTTTAGTCACTATATTTACAATATCTTTGGTTATACCAAGTTTACCAATATCTACCGGCAGTCCAATCTTTAACCCCTCACTCAGGTGAGTGATGATAGTGGAAGTTTTTAACCCTCGTAATGACGCTATCTCTTCCTATGCAAAAAAATAAAAAATTTTCAATACTATTTTATTGATTATTCCTACTCCTTAAAGGAATACTACCTCTTAGGAAGACTCATAAATTTTCTGAATTTTAACAAAATTTACCAGGTATATTAATCAGTGCACCTACCTGGTGTTATAACAATTCAAAAGAAGCACCATATTATCCCATCAATCCATAAATTACAGGCTATTATTGAAAAACACTTAATTTTTTGAAGCATTTTCCAATGATTATGTTGTTTTTTGGATTTATCGGATGATAGGCCTACAGGGATTCTCCTTTAATACTCTTTATCAATGGCTTATCCATGTAGTGTGCAATGAGGGAAAATTCATTAGAAGAGAAAAGTAGGCCACTCAAAAAAGGGTTGTTACTTATCATCTGTTACAGTCCAAACGAACAAAAACATACCTTGGAGCAATTCGAAAGAATTTCAATTGGGGCAAAGAACCAGGATGAATAACTATTGAAATTATGTCAATTTTGACATTTTATAGGGTTTGTTGCAACCAAAATCATAGGATTCGTTTTTGTCATGAGATCATTCTGACTGTAACCCATTATGGCTACTTCATATAGCAAATCAAATAAAAAAACACTTTTTGGAATGTAAGTCACTCTAGTCAGGGTTATTTGCCTTTTTATCAAGATTACTTAATAAGGTGTCCACAAAAAAAATGTCACTCAGATAAGAGCTACCTAATAAGGCCCTATATAAATTAATGGAAAGTGGGTGAAAGGAAAAGGGAGATAACTCACCACAGATTTATGAAGTGAATGAAACATTAAGAAGGAGTTTCTCTGTGTTTCTGTAAGTTGACCTAGTTTTGACTGTATTTGATCCTCATTCTTAAAAAAAATAAGGCTCCTATTACATTTCTTTTTAAGTTTTCAGACATGATTTCATGTGAATCAAAATATACTCTGTTCAAGACAGATATGTTAAAATTCCTAGAAGAAATGAAAGAATAAAAACCTGAATAAAATATTTGACTTTACCAAGTAAATGAAAAATAAAAAGTCATAAAAGTAAAAATAATTCCAGTGACTGAAACTCTTGTCCAATGCATGTCAAAATTGGGAGCAATAATTGTATAGACTTCTCAAATCTGGTGTTTTAAAGAGTTAACATGGTCTGCGCTACAGCCCGTCCAAGATATACTTACCACTTTCTTGTTCTCTCCTAGGTCCACCTACAACAAAATAAAAGGCAAGGTAACATATATGAATGCTTCGAGAGTGTTTACTATGTAAACAGAGTTGCACCAAGAAGGAAACATCCTACCCCTCCGCTGTATTTTGATAAGATGTGGGGCACAGGGACATTGTAGAATATCTGGTATTTTCTCAGTAGACTCATTAATGGTTCAGTATTGCATAGAAACCAAAATTAATGCCATATTTGGATTTTGATAAGGTTAAAATTCTCAAAAACTTATGATCTAATAAGCAATAATTCTAAGCAACTCCAATAAAAAGTGACATTTTTTAGTCTGGCTATACCGTATCCCATCTATATGTCTGAGGCAATTAAAATGCATATCCTATGTATGGATTTTTAGAATATCCTTTTTCTTAAACATAATCTAAATTTTATTACCTCCTGAGTCCAAGTTAAACAGAACATGATTTAAAAAAGAATCCTGTCAGATTATGGGTGGAAAATGTAATAACCTACAGAAAAACATGAAATATACTTTCAGATCTGTATTTTAGACATTCAAATACCTTGTCCATGGAAACTGCAGGGAAGTCGTCCATTTTTAACTCATTTTCTTCACAAAACTCTCTTATTAATGCTAAAAACTGAGCTCCGAATTTCTGGACTTTGGCTTGAGCAAAATCTTCAATTCTTAATAAGCTAGCTTTATTACTTGGACTTAAAATTAAAACAAGCAAATATTAAGGGGTATATTTGCCTTACTGGCTGATAGAAAACTCATGTCATTGTATTCATATGTTTTCATAACATCTTTAAGACCAGGGTTCAGCCTTTTCTGGGGTATATTGTATATAGAATATAATATGTAAATAGTCTTCAGAAGTGCAAGAACTGCACAAAAATCATAATTTTCCTTCAAATATACTTAAAACTAGAAATTTCACTTTTATATTTCTATATATGTTGTCATTTTAACTTTCAAATGCACATAATTCTGGACACACATGGATTTGAAAGCTCAAATGTCAACATTGAGCTGTGAACACTATTACTGATTAGCTAAAAAAAACTCCTGGGATTGTACCTTTAAAGTTATTACAAGTTATAATAATACTACTATGAAGTGTGGAATGAGGAAAATTTACTCAGGACAGTATTAGCCTACTCTTTTTTAAATCTCCAGCTGTTGACAACAGCTTGCAGCACACAGGAACACTGTTTATTGTCGAACTTGATAAGTGAAATACACTCACCTTATTTTAGCAAAATCTAATAAGACTTTGTTGCTGGCTATGTTATGAGGAGTGAAACCGGATTCTTGAGATATTTCATTTCTTTCTCGTATCAACTTCATATACAACTCATTCTGTAAATATACCATAGATACAATATGTATTTTATATATAAATAACAAGGCAAAATATAGTTTCACTGACCTCACTTTGACCAAACAACAAAATCGAAGGCACGGATAATTGAATATAATTTTTCATAAATTACAATGCTGATGTTGCATTCTCCGAAATATCAAAAATTCTGATTCTATCAAGAAACGCAGTGATTTGATTGGATTGTATGCAAGGGAATTGTGCTCACCAGCCAATAGTGGACAAATGGATGGGTCGACAACATGGGTGACGGCAATATATTTATAAAGTCAAGAAAATTTTTTAACCGAACCTGCAATTTCATTGTCTTTTCATCCACAGGAGGAGGAAGAGGTGGTGCTGCTTCTATGGTAACCGGCTCTTGATTGACAGGTTGGCAGATTTGAGTGTCAAGTCGATTAGATGGAATATTTATAGGGTGGTAAGTCCAGTCATCTTTCTTCAATCCTACAGATGGTGTAGGCCTAACAACAAAATGACTTAGAAAATATTAAGAATTAACTTTCAAACTAATATTTAGTCTACATTGTAATCTAAATAGGTATGTCGTTGTGATGTTATTTTTAACCAATCAACTTGTGTTATGTAGAATATGGAATTGCAGGCTAGCGATAGTAATATTGCTCTTTTCAGGTATAGATATCCAACAATTCCTTATTTGATCAAGAAAAAGGTTCTACATGAAAAACTGTTATTGGTTACAAATACTGATTTTGTGACAGGACAAAACTGTTATATTACTATGGAGACTAAAAATACAAGAAACAAAGAAATGTAATTGGGTAAATAAACCAGAAATATCAATGCCCAAAGGATTGGCCATGTACCAGCTGGTAGAAAGGTTTCTTACATGTGAACCTAAAATGTAATCCTTGTAAAATATAGTTGTTTCTTTTATTCTTATTCTAAAGGAGGGTTTTGTCAAATTCTATAACTAGACATACTTACTTGACAGTGATGTTAAAGGAAGGATTTGTCAACTATATAAATAGGTATACTTACTTGACAGTGATGTTAAGGAAAGGTTTGTCAATTCTATAGCAAGACATACTTACTTGACATTGATTTTAAAGGAAGGTTTTATCAACTCTATAACTAGGTATACTTACTTGACAGTAATGTTAAAGGAAGGTTTGATTGTGGTATTCTTTTCTTCGTTCAACAAGTCATGTGACGGTTGTAGTTTGATTGCTTGAGAGGTAGATTGATTTAACCAATCAAAACCTTTGTTAGAAATTTCGATTGTAGATCCAAAGCCTCCTTCTATGGCCTTTTCTTTTAAATATCCTTCCACAAGTAAACATTTCCCTAATTAATAATAAAACACATTTTCAAAGTATTAAATGCACCTTATTAATTGGAATAGAGTTTTACACCCTACTGTTCTACATCTTTTTAATAATGTGAAAAGTAGCAGACATCTACCTACCAAAATAGTTTGAGTTCAATTTAAATAATTGCCATCTAAATTATTTATTGAATGTAATGGAGTTTAAAAGGGCAGTCCGATTATATCCGATGAAAATTATAGACCACAAAATTACTTAAAAACATCTTACCAAAAGCTTTCCACCACTTCTGTGTTTTATGCCTAAAATGAAATAAATATGACTCTTTCTAGTCAATTCTAGTTAAATTGTGAATTTCTGGGACATGTTTAAAAGCATATTACTGCGCCGATCAGTTGGCTATTGGATGATAAACAGAGGCCCTACATGCCTTCTCATTTTCCATTTTCAACTGGCATGATCATTGTTTGCAATATAATTTCAAAACAAAAGATAGTGGACCACAGCCATATACACCCACCACGGCATGCGGATGGTAAAACCAAAAAATATTTTGAAGATATTGGACCACAGCAATATACACCCACCACGGCATGCGGATGGTAAAACCGAAAAATATTTTGAAGATATTGGACCACAGCAATATATGCCCACTTCTGCATTCTGTTGTAAGCAAAATGCCATTTTCAAAGCTTTGTGATTTCAGGTTCTGTTCTTGTATTGAAAATTGTATTCATGTCAGTTTTAAAATCTATTGATAAAGTTAGTATTCTTTAACAAAAATCTAAAATTAAACAAAGATTGTACTGTTTAAAGGAAACAAGTCATATCTAAACCATGGCCAAGCTTCCTTTGGTATAAACCTACCCATTTCAAAGAATGTAGATAATTGCATCTTATAAAAGCAGTTTCATAAGATCAATTGAAAATCAGCAATGTACCATTGCAGGGTACAGTGCAGTTGACAACAGCATTACCATATTCTTATTATCGATCCCTTCCACTGGGAAAGTATCTTTAACGTGTACAACCTGAGACACATGGGGCCTTGGTTTATTGTTCCATCCAATAATCTATTTATAGAAATTACACACACTGTCTGTAAACTATACAATAAACTAAAACAATTTGAACTTGACCTTCGTTTCATGAATATGTATGCACATACCGAATTTCATTCCGAGTTAATCAAAAACTCTTAAGGAAATAATTTGATGTAATTGTGGAATTTTACATTGAGAAATACCATACTTACAACAAAATTATTAATAAGATTTTCTGAGTAACAGGAACCAGGTCAGGTTACTTACTTGCCCTTGCCGTAGCCTGGTTTATTGTAAAATTTACTAACTTTCTGACTGTTCGACCCACCAAGGAATTGTATAATAACAGTCATACCAAATCGTGAGTTCAAAGCCTACAATGGAACAAAATTTAGCTTGAATTTCAAAAACTGAATAAAATGAATTTGACAGCCTATTGTTTTCCAACTAGTTTGGGTTAATGATGACAGACAACACCATGTGGTTGAAATGAACATCAACATAGAGCAACTTTTGTACAAAATCTGTCAGAAGGAAGATCAAGAAAATATTAACAAAATAAAATTGTAATCTTAATTTACAATAGAACTGACCTCCATAGCATTATAGAAGAGTTTGGCCTCTGAACTGTAATCTTGGACATCAGCTGTCAGGTCCACTGTTTTATTCCAACCTACTGTTGAACTCTGGTTACGACTTTGTAAAATTCTTAACAAAAAAAAAGTTATGTATTAATATGAGTGTATAAGGAACACTGATATTATCAATTTGCACTATTACATTTTTCAGTTAGATGTCTGGTTCATGCAATTCCACTGAAAGTAAATGTCTCATGACATCACCATCATAAAAGCTACTATTGCTAATAACTATGCGACAGAGATGTTATAAAATGCATAATGTAAGTATAATTGAAAGAACCAGACGTCTGATTGAAAAATGTAACCACTATTACAAATATAATTTTTAAAAAACCTCTGTACCATCACTAAAAGTCTTTAGTACGATATTTCTAAATTAAAAAACATCACTTTCCACAAATTCTTATTGTAAGATGCCTATGTTGGCAAAATATCTCAAAATAATTTTTCAACCTATAAAAATTATGGAATCGTTCATACTTGCTTCTGCAGTTATCACAGCATTTATCAGAACCTCCAATATCTTCTAAAGTTTTTCCTTCAAAATGGGCCAATAATATTCTGAAATCATAAAGTTGGAAATAAAAAAGTAGGTTAATGCTGCAGATGTGAAACTCACTTAGCCACCATGGCTCCCCTTGAGAATTCATGGTTCCTTTTGCAATTTCTTTTAAGAATTACGAATTAAAACAAACAATGATGCTACCTTCTTCTACAGCCAGTAGTGCTTAAATATTGCTGCAACTTTCGTAACATTTCCATTTTATGTTCCTGATGTTTGACGTTACTGATTTCATTTATAAAATGTCTAAAAATAGAAAAGAAAAAAATGATAGAAAAGAATGGAACATCCATATTATCAAGAACAATTTCTCAAGGATCCTGTCTACCATCTGGTCTTTATATATTTAATAAGGATAACATATTAGGTTCTTGAGGATCCCGTCTACAAGCAATTCATTGTGCCAAACAACCATATTCTACAAGGATAAAGACTTGGGTTCTTGAGAATCCTGTCTACCAGCTGGTCCTTGAACCAAGCAACTATAATTTACATAGTACTTGGGTTCTTGAGGATCTTGTCTACCAGCTGGTCCTTGTGCCAAGCAACTATATTTTACAAAGTACTTGGGTTCTTGAGGATCTTGTCTACCAGCTGGTCTTTAAACCAAGCAACTATATTTTACAAAGTACTTGGGTTCTTGAGGATCTTGTCTACCAGCTGGTCTTTAAACCAAGCAACTATATTTTACAAAGTACTTGGGTTCTTGAGGATCTTGTCTACCAGCTGGTCTTTAAACCAAGCATCTATATGTTAAATACTACTTGGGTTCTTGAGAATCTTGTCTACCAGCTGGTCTTTAAACCAAGCAACTATATTTTACATACTACTAGGGTTCTTGAGAATCTTGTCTACCAGCTGGTCTTTAAACCAAGCAACTGTACTTTACATACTACTAGGGTTCTTGAGAATCTTGTATACCAGCTGGTCTTTAAACCAGGCAACTATATTTTACATACTACTAGGGTTCTTGAGAATCTTGTCTACCAGCTGGTCTCTAAACTAAGCAACTATACTTTACATACTACTTGGGTTCTTGGGAATCTTGTCTACCAGCTGGTCTTTAAACCAGGCAACTATATTTTACATACTACTTGGGTTCTTGAGAATCTTGTCTACCAGCTGGTCTTTAAACCAAGCAACTATACTTTACATACTACTTGGGTTCTTGAGAATCTTGTCTACCAGCTGGTCTTTAAACCAGGCAACTATATTTTACATACTACTTGGGTTCTTGAGAATCTTGTCTACCAGCTGGTCTTTAAACCAAGCAACTATACTTTACATACTACTTGGGTTCTTGAGAATCTTGTCTACCAGCTGGTCTTTAAACCAGGCAACTATATTTTACATAGTACTTGGGTTCTTCAGGATCTTGTCTACAGCTGGTCTTTGAACCAAACTATATTTTTCATGGATAAATACTTGGGTAGTAAAGAATGATCATTCACCGTAAGTTTAATATTGAATATCTGTTCTGAGGAGGATTGTGTATCTGCAATATGCGTCAATTTCACAAGATAAGCTCCAGTCAAAATAATATAATATACATTGTGTTTTGTTTGTGTTTTGTTGTATGAATAGAAAATTCCTACATTTACCTGGAGACATTAAAATCAGCAGCAGAATAGAAAACCTGACAGTTGCTAGGGAAACCATCTCTTCCAGCTCGACCAATTTCCTGATAGTAAGACTCTATATCTTTTGGTGCTGAAAACAACAGAATTTAGCCCTATATTTTGTCAGGTTGATGAAGTCTGAACTAAGATAAAAATATTAGGTTGTTTTTTTTGCAATTACAGAAGAGATCAAAGGCAGAATTAATATCCATCTACATCTTTATGTCATCAGTAATATTTGCTTGTCAAAACAAAATCATGTTGTTACTCAAAGTTCCATCCATCAAATTTTATCGATAATGTCATTCATAATGCCTGCATGAGTGAAAGTCAATGAAAGCCTGGATAATAAGACTGTTACCACTTTCAACCTGAGTTTTAAATTGTAGACAAACTAATCATTGATTATAATTCTCAAAGAACAAATCAACCATTTCCAAGAAGCATTACAACTTAGGTTTACAAGGATCCTTGGAAAAACCTCTTGGCATTGATCTTTACTAGAAATCAAAACCCTTTATACATCAGGCCTTAGTCATTTTGAGAAATATAAACCAAATTGTTAATTAGAGGTCTTTAATCCATTCAGAATTCCAGATTGGAACCAGACACAAACTATCAATTAACTTAAAAGAACAGTCCAAGTAAGTTATGAAAACTATACACTCAAACCTGGAGTTTGTGTTCAAGAGCCAACATTCTTACCTCCATAGTGTATGACTTTCCTGACATCTGGTTTGTCAATTCCCATACCAAAGGCTACGGTTGCTACAACCACCTAAAAATACAAACCATTTTAAGAACCTTTGTTAAGAAAGTTTTCTAAACTTTTTATGTGTATCAAGGACACTGAGAGCATCAATTTGCACAATTCCAACATTCAGTCATGCGACTGTGATTCTCACAATTCCACTTAAACATAGCATTTTATTGCATAGCTAGTGCAAAGGCCTTAAGATATTGCTTTTGCAATAGTGACATCATATACATGTATATACATAGCATTTCTATAACTACAGGAACCATTAACATCTGACAGGAAATTTTAATATCATATAACAAAGAATATTGCTACCAACTCTCCCTCTAAATTCCCTTGATGTGTAAAACTGTTTATAAGTAGCTTACTTGAACTTGGTCATTCACAAACTGATGATGTGCTTTCTTCCGTTCATTAAGAGATAGCCCAGCATGGTAGGGTAGACAGGGAACTTTCATACCTACAATATTCAATAACATGATAGGGTAAACAAGGGACTTTCATATCTACAATATTCAATAACATGGTAGGGTAAACAAGGGTCTTTCATACCTACAATATTCCATAACATGATAGGGTAAACAAGGGACTTTCATATCTACAATATTCAATAACATGATAGGGTAAACAAGGGTCTTTCATACCTACAATATTCAATAACATGATAGGGTAAACAAGGGACTTTCATATCTACAATATTCAATAACATGATAGGGTAAACAAGGGTCTTTCATACCTACAATATTCAATAACATGGTAGGGTAAACAAGGGACTTTCATACCTACAATATTCAATAACATGGTAGGGTAAACAAGGGACTTTCATACTTTCAATATTTAATAACATGGTTTTCATTCACATTTAGATTATTTATGAATTGGAATTGTGCACCTTTTCTGCTCTGGATGGCGACACTGAAGAAATGCATTCTGCACTCTTGAGAGATACAATATCACATCTTTTGGTGTAGCCAGACAAATCTGGCTTCTTCAGTTCCTCGGATGTGATACTAAATTGTCTCACATGGTACCAAAAATTAGTCAAGGGGAGCTGAACAAAGAAGGGAAAATCCCCAGCTGTTTTAAGTTTCCATTTTGTGTACAGGGACATAGTAGAATATCTGGCCATGTCTTGAATCAATAATGGCTCAGCTTTGTATAGATAGGCCTACCAGAACTTATACTAAATTTGGCTTCTGTCGTGGTGAAAATTCTCAAAAAATAACAATGGAAAAGTTGGTCTAACTGTGAATCTTATGCCTGACTCTAAACATGGCAATATCCCGTTCGTATATCACGTCCAAGAAATAGGTAGGTCCAGATTTGTCAAGATACTATTGGTGTAGCCTAAACCCTATAATTCAGAATATTCTGCACTTACCCTGTAACACTTCAGTAACCTGCATGGTAGATTTTTTAGTAGGACAGTATATTATGGTGGGCCCTTGAAAACTTAGCACTTTATCTTGGAGAACTAACTGTGTACGCAGATCACATATAATATTACTTTTATTGGCTACTGATAGAAATAAGTTCGGTCTGAAAACAGACAATGGCAATTTCAGCTTTAATTTATCAGTCTCTAAAACTACCAACACTTGAATGCGACTGTGGTACAATTACATAATTTTCGTCTCATACCCCGACTGCAATGGCCCACTTTCTTGTTTCACAGTCGCCGTTTTGATTGGATTGTATATAAGAAAATACAGCAAATCAGAGCCCTCAATTTAATGAGTAATTATTTTTTACAGATTTTCTGATGAGAGCTCAGATTGGCTGTATTCTCTAGAGCACCAAGCAATCAATTTGCTGCATTCACAAACTTCCAAGTATGAAGAAAATAGGCCATTGCCGTCAAGGTATAAGACACAGTTTGCAATAACCTGACCATTGTGGAGATGACTTCATGGTGTTTAATTTTTAGGTGTTTGGGTAATAAATCTGTTTAGCCAGCCAATTTCAGGCACTTTTTGCAAAATAAATCTGCCCAATGGTCTAACTAAAACCTCCCTAACATTCCCAATAAAAACATTGAAAACACTAACCTATCAAAGCCAGTGCATGTTACAGTAGGTTTTTTAAGATGTAAAGAACTACAGATATCTTTTCTTACTTCCAATGTGGCTGTTGCTGTCAGGGCTACTATGGGAATCTATAATAGATAGACAGCTTACATCTGATATCCAGGGTTCAATTTAAGTGATACCGCATCGCAGTTTGCGATTCAAATTTATCCCTTTTGCGATCTAACATTTCCTATGATGAGCCAAATTAACAATTTTCTCGCAACAATCTGCGAATCAAATCAAATAGTATATTTGAAGGTTTACTACTGGAACATTTTAAATTGCATCTGAATATAGAAATACAAATAAAAATTTAACCCCGCTGATACCACTCTGAAATGAATGGAGCTTTAAGTCCTACTCTTCTGTACTGATAACAGATAAAAATAAAGAAGAAAACTAATTCATGCCACACTCAATAATATCGTAACATGATTTTTGTTCGAAGGAAAAGGGTAGCCAACCTGAGGGAACTGTTTCTTCAGTTGACCAAGTGATCTATAAGCATTTCTAAAATCATGCCCCCACTGCGAGACACAATGAGCTTCATCTATAGCTATCAAGTCCATACCTAAAAATATCATCAATGTGAAATTAAAAACTTCAAGTGCAATAATTCAATGACTTTTCGATGAAATAAATGATAATCTCATCCACTAGCTTATCTAAATACTTCTTTTTATACCTTGACTTCAATAGCCACCCTTCTATAGCACGGAATGCAGTGATTTGGTTGGATTGTACACTAAGCAATACACATACAGCCAATCATTTAACATTGTTTACAGACTTTCTGTCAAATACTCTGATTACCTGGACATGTACAGTCCACACAAATTGCTGCATTTACAAACTTCTGTAATACAAGGAAGGTGGCTATTGCAGTCAAGGTATAGGATGAATTTCATAATAGCTTTACACTGTGAAGATGGTGATCAGGCAGATAAATGTTTAGGTTGGAATCCTACTTACCTATTTCATCATTAAGTGTTTTGAGGATGTCAGTACCACTACAGGCAAATTCTGGAGTAATATACAGTAGCCTGTATTCACCTCTGTAAGACACAAAATAAATAAAGTGGGCTAGGGTTCACATACTTTTAATGGTTATTACTTTTCTTGTCAAACTGATTGCAAGAACTTTAGTTATCCTACCTGAGTAATTCCGATTTCACTCTAGCAGTATTTTCTTGAGCAGAACCCAATAAACATGCTGGGATATTAGATGCCCTGAAATTGAGAAATTTCTAGTTAAGTTTGTTTAAAAGTCTAGTTCAAGTTCAATTTAATTCAATTGTCATTTTCAACAATTGCACAGAATACTAATAATGGCCTGGATAGTCTAGACTACCGTCGAATTCACAGTATCTTTTATTTAACGTAACATTTTGTTATCATAAAGAGAGAAAATAGTTGTGAGAACTGTAGCCATATAAAGGAACACGTTCTTACTTGAGGCCAAGGACTTGATCTTCCATTAGAGATATCAAAGGGGAAATAACTATTGACGTCCTTCCTGTATAAACAGATGGATATTGGTAGCAGAGACTTTTACCATGACCTAAAAGCAAAATACAAAATATTATGAAATTTTTAGTCTGAAATCAACCCTTTTTCCAACAAATTGACCTGATAAGAATAATATACCCAAATCCTTGACAGTAGCAAAAATAGAAAGAAACAACTAGGCCTATATCTTTCTACCACCTGGTACTAGGCCAAACCCTTATCTGCACCCATATAAAGTTGGGTCGACGGGAATTATGCGTGAAGATGACTTATTCAAGGTCAATGTGCTATCACACACTCACTCGATCCTCTCCATTTCCAAACTAGCTATTTCCTTGATATTTGTATATCCAATTCATGTGTCTGTGGCATGAGATGATACAATAGATATGAGATATACAATACAAAAAAAAAAGTATAGTCCAACCTGTAGCCATGATAACACAATTGTCTCTTTTCTCATTTAAAACAGAATTAATAATCTTCCACTGCATTCTGAGAAAAAAAATCAAAAATAAAATATAATGATATCTTGCTAGGCAAGGTAAACATACATCCACACAGCAGCTTTGTAAAACTCAACAAAGAGCGACCTGAACCATAATGATCTGTCAAGTTTGTATTCAATAATCAAGGCCTTATCAATTCCAATGATCACACAATCAAATTGAATAAAATTGGCAGATTCCAAAACTAAAAAAACGTTCGTCAAAAGATCACAGTGTCACAAGATTCCACATCGAGAGTTTACATTTAAACTTTACCAACTTGCTGAAGCACAGTTGGTTAAAGACTTGGAACTTTGTCATTTGCTTCAGTACCTCAAACAAGTTGTGATCCTGGGTTCTAATCTTGGTTAGCAAGTGGAAGTCTAGTGACCCTAAGTAAGTCTTCCTTCCTCATTATTTTAGTTGACCTAGCTGTAAATGGATACAGGAAATTGACAAGATCCTTGTAAAATATGGTCTTTCTTTCTTACAAACTGCAAAATTGAAGCATTGAATTGAAAAAAGGTAATTTTATAACCATCAGCAGCAGTTTTAGACCTACTAGATCAAAGCATAAGTAAGAATCATGAGGTCATACATACGGTCTAAACTTGGAATAACCAAAATATTGTTTCAACTTTTTCAGATATGACAAATCTGTCGGCTGGTTTTCATCATCTAAAATATAAGATATATCCAGTACAAGATAAATATATCAAACATAATCAGAAACCTTGTAATTTACAAGTGATTCTTCCTTAAGTCATAATTAATAATTTTGTTCATATCCTAGAGTGTTTGCGAGCTAAAAAGTTGAATGTTCTTTAAATAGCAGGGGCAATTACTCATATTAAATTTTTTTCAAAAAAGTAAAAAGGACAATTGACATGAAATTCATTTTTTGAATATTTGGATTGTTAACAGGTTTTTCTTAACTTTTTATATGTAATGGGGGACAATGATGGCATTGATTTGAACCATTCCAATTTTCAGTCAGACCTCTGTGGTTCTGGCATGGTAGATGGTTTTATTCTGATACATAACATACCTGCTGCATCTTCATCAAATTCAGCTTCCATTTCCTCTTCTTCTAGGAAACTTTTTTCTGCATCATTGATTTCTCGTAACATTTCATCATCAAAATCATCATCATCATCAAAAATATCCTTTTCATCATCAAAACAATCATCAACTAATCTCTAAAGAATCATAAAAAAATGTGCTATTTTAACTTTTGAATATTCCTTGTTCCACTTGTATCACTTTCTGAATTAAATTGGATGTGATGTTCAACATTTTTTTTTCATTGTGCAAATTATAACAATATGAGCATATAAAAACATATTGCTAGAAGGGATAAAAATTTATTTTCATGTTAAAAATTTTATGCCACATAATCAACATTATCTTGGCCCATATCAGCATTGCAACAGAACCTATAGGCTATAGGATATAATATATTATGGGCATCTAAATCCAAGACAGTATCATATATCCATGTAAACCTACAATGCCATGCAACTTGTCTCAAGCTATCACAAACTTCGTCTCATACCTTTACTAAAATAGCTACATGTACCGTACACCTTTCTCATATCACGGAATGCAGCATTTGATTGGATTGTACCCAAGCGAATACAACCAACCATAGCCCTTGACAGAAAGACTGTAAACATCATTAAGACATTCTGTTGATGACTCTGTGATGATTGGCTGTATTCACAAACATACAATCCATCTAAAATTGTTGTGTTTACAAGCTTACATAAATAAAAGAAAGGTGCTTATTCCAATTAAGGCATTAGACAAAGATGGTAATAGCTTGACACTGATGGTTAACCCACAAAGATCACATCTTTCTTCTTGTCTGTAACAACTGAAACCTTTTTCACTTCGCTCTCTGCATCACAGTCTTCACTGATTTTGGTCGAATTATTTGATTTTCTGAAACTTGCAGATTCATCTTTTTTGTTTTGTGATACCAATGGCTTTAAGCTCTCTTTGTTATTTTTCGATATTGTTGGCTTTAAGCTCTCTTTTTCATGTTGTGATATTGGTGGCTTTAAGCTCTTGTTTTCTGAACCATGGTTAAATTTTTTATTTGAAGTTTCGTCCTTTAAACCATCATCTTCACTATCACTATAAAAATCACTCAAATATTCGGATTTGTCATTACCGGTATCTTTCAAATCATTTTCCTCGCAATAGTTTAAATTGTTTTGAAAATCAACAATTTCAAGTCGGTCGACAACATCTTTTATATGATCAACATCCTTCAACATCGTGTCAGCTAATTTACACGCCTTTTTGTCAGTATTGCACATGGCATTTGGAGTAATTTGGGACAATAACACAGTTACTTCGTCTTGTAATTTGGTCAATTTCTTTATTAAGGTCTCACTAACACTAGACATTTTATCTATCAAGAACCAGTCACATTGAAAATTATTTATATATCATTGGTCATCTTTCCTGAAAGCTGGAATGTAAAGAAAACATAACATGGACAAAATGGTTCAATTTCGAAACATGTTACGAAGTTGACGGATCACTGTAACAAGCAAAAATTAACTGTCGTCTGAAGCTGAACTCTGTTGTTACTAACTTGGCACTGGGTTCTTTCAGTTTGTTAAAGTTGAAAAATCAAAACAAGATCAAAGTATTACTTTAATTTTCTTCCGGAGTGAAGACAATGATTTCAATATTAAGTTGCATTGACCATGTTGACACTTTTTTTTATTTTTTGATGACTACCCGCCATTTTAGTGTGAATAAATTTTTTCTACCTCCACGATTGAAAATCGAGGTGTGCAATCATAGTGTCAGAGGTGTGCAACATTTCTAATATTGAGAGCACAGTGGCTTATTTTTGGGGCGGGCCATTAAATGACACAAATTATCAATTTAAATTTTGCTTTACAGTTGAAAATCTACAACCAGAATTTGAATTATTTTTGGTTGGAATCTCTAAAAGGAAGGTGTTAATGTATTTATGTTTATGTAAATTGCTAAAACTTTGTATTACATGTACTATGTGGGCCTATGTAAATTGTTGAAACGTTGTAATACTATATGAATTGAATAAAAGTTGTATTGCTATGTAAATTTTGGAAACATTTTATTACTAGATTAACTGGAGAAAAGTTGTATTACTTCTATGTAAAATGTTGTATAACTAAGTAAATAATTGAAACATTGTATTGTAATGTAAATTGTTGAAACGTTGTAGAACAATGTTAATTGTTGAAACGTTGTATTGCATGTAAATTGTTGAAACGTTGTATTGCTATGTAAATTATTAAAAAGTAACTGTTGTATTTCTATGTAAATTTTTGAAACGTTGTATTGCAATAAAAATTGAATAAAAGTCGTATTACTACGAAAATTGTTGAAGCGTTGTGTTACTTTCAGAACTTATGGTACAAAAAAAAATTATTAAAAAGTTGTAAGCTTGTAACATGAAAATACCCGTATACCATATCAACTCAATCAACAAATAGGCCTATTAAAAAGAAAATTGACATAGAAAATCACATTTGTTCGTCGTTAACAAAAACTTCTTAAGAAAAGGACAACACGGCTATAGAAATTTAACAAATACTTCATTCTTATAATAGAGCAATCGAATAAAAAAAATCTTTTCACGCCAAATACGTTCGTTTCTATTGCTAGGGACATTTAGCGAAGTGTTGAAGTTAAAGTTTACAAGATAATTCTTGTTTCAATTGAACCCAATCTATCGGTTGTGGTTGGCAACTACAGTTACAGAATATTTTATATACAGAAAGGCTTTAAGATAATTATTGAGATTTGTACTTTGGTTCACATTTTGACATCACTTTTGGATCGCTACAAAAAATGGCTAATTTTTGAAAGTTAATTTTTTTTGCTCTCATTGACGGTGTGTCGTCACATCCTCTAGTATTTTTTAATGTGCAAGTCGCACCCTAGCCTTCGGAATCTATTTATACAAACAAAGACGAAATTGTTTCAATCCGTTGCACACTGACCCCGAGGTACCTACCACGAGGGACAGAAGAGTCATTACGTTGTCAATGGTAGGGACATGGGTTAACAAGCGGTATGTTACCATCAAATAACCATATCATTGTTAGAGCGTTTAATTGTTCCATTTCATTCGCTACCAATACGTTTTTAAGAAAGGCTATTTAATTGGTTGAAATCTAGGTTTAAAACATAAAAGAACAGAATGGAGCTTATATTGTACAAACATAGTGTGGTAGACACGAAAAAATTCAAGCACCCCAGATGATCAAAAAAGAAAATTTTACGGAAATTTTGTGATTTATATTCAAAATGTTGAAGGAGTCGGTGATATATCTAAAGGATCATTTTTGAGAGGATAAGATGAATTAGTGCTCAAATTTGACCAATTTATTCTGAAACCCAGAACACCAAACTTTGTGAGATTAAGACATACTAATTACATATTATTCGGACTATACTTACGTTGATTCCAATATGACCGGTAATCTAGCACATTCTTCTAAGGAACGGAAAAGGTATGTTTTAATTTCATTTTTCCGAGTAGCCCTCTTAAAGCCCTTGGCAATTAGTGACGTCATAAAAAGCTTGGTTTAAGTGGAATAGCAGGAACAACAGACGTCTGATTGAACATTTGAATGGTGCAAATAGATGTTTTAAGTCTCCCCGATACACATAAAAAAAAATCTAGAAAACCTCTTTATAATTCCTTTTAGGTTGTCGTTTGGGGTATCACATATCTAAACTATTCAATTCTGAAGCCCCACCATTTACAGGGCTCTAACTGTAAGAACTTTTTAAGGGATAAAAATTCATATGTCTTTTATTTATAACCCAGAGGCGCAGATCTATTGATAAATTTGGTGGGGACCAGCTGCTTAGAAAAGTAGTACCCTTGTCCTTCATTTGGAGTCCATGTTTACACAGACGTCTGTTTGTGATCAACGAAGGCTTTCCGTCCACTATTATGTCACAAGTAATTTGTGTTCATCCAATGTCTCTCCGTATAACGATCCGATACAAAACAACAATGAGGAACCGAAATCTTGAGTTGCCTTTCCTTGACATCTAGACGATGCGGCGTCTACTAGTGTTTTAACGAATTTCGAATTGAAAAGTGGGTCTTAGTACTATCCTTGGTGATATATTTTTGTGTTCGGTTATCCGACTAGCTAAATACCACTAAAAGATGCCATTTTTCTATTTTGCAGATCCATATCGTCCAGCTTCTCCTGCGAATCATTTCAGGTAAGAACGACTATGTGATCTGTAAACAGTTCGTGAATCTAATATCACTGTCCTGGCATTGTCCCTCAACGAATACTTGGCGTTGACGAACGAAAGCAGGACGTAAAACTCCATTTCATGCTATCTACCAGGTGACTTTCGTTCCAGACAATTTATCAGTCATTCATTCACCCGTTTTTAATTCCTACTCCTTTTTTAGATACACGCCCTGTCGTCCGACGACCCATTACGGAGTGACCTGATGTATGGACAAATTGAACTGTTTGAAGAAAGAGTAGAGATGTGCTTCGATAGATTCGACGTGACTCTTTTCTACAGCATGGTGCGACAGCTTTCGCAACAGACTTCCGTTTACGATATCACCAGTGTACGGCAACTGCGACAAGTGTACGACGACGAAATGACGCGTTTTACTCATCCGTCTACCAGACAGACTCCTCGACAGCTGAGCAAGTGTCTGCAGTATTTTACGTGGTTTTGTAAATTCTTGACATATCTCAGGAACCTTCGGATTAGCTTCAACAGCCGCATTTTTATACCGTTATTCAAATATTTTCAACCGCATGGTAGTGTTCCCACTGGCAGAAGGGGATCATCATTTTCAACATCGTCTTCGCTGTCAAAATATAGCAGTAATCTTTCCCTTACAAGTAACGAAAGTGGAATTATGTCTGATTGTGGAAGCTTGGACAATCGTGTGGTATCGTACGCTGACGAGTTGCAGAATGGAGATGACGAACTGGATGACGCAGAAGCCATGACGCGTCTACGTGTACAGTCTGAAAGGGCGTTGATGCTTCTAACTAATGAATTCAAAGAGATCAAATCTCTCTATGATACCTCAGACGTTAAAAAGGTTGCCCAGAAACTTTCTTTTGTCAAAGAGCAACTGGAATTCAATATGGACGAAGATGAGACCATTGATACCGATCTTTTAAGTCAAGAAAGTGTACGAGTTGTACGGCATCTGAACGCAGACGAAGAAATTGAAACGCTTTTGAGGTACATTCCAGACATTCTTTTCAAATTCAAAATGGCAGCCAAGTTAGCTAGACAATGGATGCACATGGATGATCAGCGATCACGTGATCTATCATCAAAATTGCAGAAGATTATGAGTCTGGAAAATCGAATGTCCGAGAGACTTTCAAAACTAGTCTACGATATCAAAAAGCATGAAGCTACTTTAGAAAAGGACAGTGAAGAACTCCAAAAGCTGATGACTCGCGAGGAACGATCCACTGAACTGTCTTCAACAGTCACTGAACTTGATGACCGCATCAAATCCATCAAGGACTCTCTGAAACTGCTCCGAAAGGAGAAGATCATTATTACCAACAAACTTGTTGAAGCTGTCAAAAAGCGGTTGAAACGTGAATACAAGACACAAAAAGTTTTGTACGAATCCAATCGATTACGGAGATATTCGTCCGAACGACAGTTAGCAACGCTACAATTTCGCCGCGATCTTGCCGAAGCTGATATGCACATTGAAGTCGGCTTGAAACCACATCTTATTCGGAGTACGAATGATCTTCAGGATAAAGTGGAGAAATTGGAACAGATAATCGAGGAGGAAAGACGTAAAGAACGAACCATCAAGTCCGCTTTGATCCCAGTTCATAATGACAGACAATATCTAGCGGACATAGTTTACCCGCATGGGTTGCCCCCCATTACAGAGCCTGTGCTGCCTAAATACGAAGCCTCGAAACAGGCTTATTATATTGGAACTCGAAGAGTATCCCCTGGCAAGGCTAACCACGTGAAAACATATCGTAATGTTAGTAGATTACCCGTACCAATTCGGAAGAAGTCTCAAGACGTTGGAGTTCAGGTTCAGGATGATTTGTGGGATAACTGAGTGAATACAATTTGAATGATATACAGATCATAATACTTTTTGTTCCGTTTTTTTTTTCTGTGGGTTACGAACAAAATTTCACGATCCTAAAAATCTCGATAAACATCCACTGTCCACAGTTGTGAAAATGAGTGATAAAGTGGAACTTCATGACTTTTGTAGGGATGGCGTTTGTACCAATTTCTGGCACCTTAACGTCGAAAGAGTGTCGTTGCAAATGTAATTAGTGCATAAGCTCCATGGCTTCTGTTTATTAGGGCGTAAACCCCCATCCCTGTCACATAAGGACAAGAGTATCATTGCGGAAACGTCATTTAAAAGTTATCTCTATATTTGTGTCCTGTTTTATTTTACACTGAAAACAACTTTCTTATGGCTAGTTCATGTAAACATCCGTAAATGACACTTATTATATGTTTAATCAAGCTGTCAACTGACGTGCATGGCTGTTTTTTTTTTAGATTATTTTTTTGTCAACGTTATTGGATTATCATAGTGTTTTAAAAGGAGATTTACGCCCTACATATTCTTCTGATTAGGCTAATATTAGGCGGGACTTATAATGTCAGTGGCATTTATCATTAGCCCAACCTGAAGCGATAGAATTCGACCTTAAACGTAATAATACATAATTAATAACCTAATTTTGCTCAAAGTTTAGTTTTTCCTGTTAATTAGACCCCAGGTAGTAGGAAAAACACTTAAAACCTAATTAAAAACAATTACTGAAAAAAAGAAGAAATTACCAGTTAAAAGTACGGAAGCGTATTAGGGCCATTTATTTTATTTTATTTTATTTTTTTTTTTTTTTGAATTTTTAAAAAAAAAGTTAGTATGTTGAATTTTCAAGTTAGTATGTTGAATTTTCAAGTTAGTATGTTGAATTTTCAAATTAGTATCATGAATTTTAAAGCTAGTATGTTGAATTTTCAAGCTAGTACGTTGAATTTTCAAGTTAGTATGTTGAATTTTCAAGTTAGTATGTTGAATTTAGTAACTTGAATTTTCAAGTTAGTATGTTGAATTTTCAAGTTAGTAACTTGAATTTTCAAGTTAGTATGTGTTAGTATTCTGAATTTTCAAGTTAGTATGTTGAATTTTCAAGTTAGTAACTTGAATTTTCAAGCTAGAATGTTGAATTTTCAAATGTGTATGTTGAATTTTCAAGTTAGTATGTTAAATTTTCAAGTTAATATGTTGAATTTCCAAGTTAACAACTTGAATTTTCAAGTATGTGTTAGTATCTTGAATTTTCAGGTTAGTATGTTGAAAATTCAAGTTACTAACTTGAAAATTCAACATACTAACTTGAAAATGAAAAAAACAAAAAACAAAAAAGAATGACCCTAATACGCATCCGTATTACGTATAAAGGGGACTACTGCACTTAAAGTGTTCATATTATTACAATATTTAATGTATATAATGTAATTTCATTAGTTTCATAGAGATATTTTTTGCTGAGTATCCGTTTTGCACCTTTCTAAACTTTTATTATAAAAGGGAAGCTATCAAAATTATGATCTGGACCAGTAATTCAGTTGCCATCTGTTTCCATGTTAAATCACGAGATTCAACCTTCCATAACTTTTTTTCCAGAAATCTCGTTAAAAACTTTCCAATATGTCACATGAAAGTCTGACGAATATTTAGTTATTGGACAATAATTCAATATATCATGACCATGAAAATCTTGAGCTGGCCAAACTGAAAGTAGACCACTACAATTTATCAATATCTGCTTGACTGTCACTGCACACAAAACGAATATTTTTAGAATAATTATTCCGCATAAAAATCTCTAATCATCTCTCATTAAATTCCAAATCTAGGCCAAAAATTAGTCAAAATTAGGAATAAAAAAACCCCAAATGGAGGAAGAAAGAGGATTTCTTAAAAAGAACATTCGTATTCAATCTTTTGCGTGAAGATAAAAATTTATTTGGATATGAGATATTATTGTGTTTTTCCAAGTCCTTGGGGTCTAATTAGAAGGAAAAGACCCATCACTTGAGATGAATTGGGATTTTCAGCAAAGTTAGGTATTTGACATTTTCGGTCTGTAGACCTACAGAAAATGTCCATTTTTTATGTTATTGTTTTTACTTTGTTTTGATGTGTTTTTTTCAAGTCTTTGGGTTCTAATTAGTTGGAAAGGACCCCACACTTGAGGTAAATCAGAATTTTTAGTAAAGTCAGGTATTTGAAATTTTCCATTTGTATGGCGATTTATTTCTCTAATTGTTTTTACTTTGGTTTCATGTGTTTTTGCAAGTTCTTGGGGTCTAACTTGTAGGAAATGACCCAACACTTGGGCAATTTTTTTATTAGCAAAGTTAGGTCTTTGTCATAAAGGGGGAAATAGGGCCTGAGATGTTCAGAACTTGTGATCATATTGTCTCGCATATTATTTCGATCATGGGCAGAAGGTTGTTGAACTGGAAGATTTTCTTCAGATGGATTATCTACGACATCAGGATGTACAGCTTCTTGCTGGTCAGGAAGAGAATGTTGTACATTGGCCTCTGCGCTGTGTTCATCAGCAGGATAAGGAGCAGAAAATTTAAGATAGCTCAGCTTTTGACGTAAGTATTTTTCGATTGCGTCTGAAAGTACCTTCATCAGTTCTAAGATAAGTTCAGATAAGAGCGTTTATTTAGTCTACCTCCCATTTTTTTCCAAATTTTCTTGGGTTTAATACGAACAACGTCAAAGGAAGATTGTTTATCCTTCTGGCGTTGGAGTTCGTACGATCCAGTTTAGGATTGACATTACGAGGTTCAAGGAGTAATGACTTGACAGGCAACGAGTACTAAATTAACTGGACACAATTACTTCAATAAAATACCTTGCGACGTTTCGACGAAGGTTCTTCCGTCTTAATCAAATGATACAAAATAGCAAAGCAATACGAATATATAGTAAAAGAGGGGATTCGTCGAAACGTCGCAAGATATTTATTAAAGTAATTGTTATCCATATAATTGTGTCCAGTTATTTATTGTCCAATTACTAAATGCCGCTTATTGCGAAAATCTAATCTAGGTTTAGGTAACAGTCGTTTCGCAGTTTCGACAAAACCTTCAGCCTTTCCGCTATACTTACTGTTATACGAATTACTAGTAATATGTTCAAAGTCCCAAACTTCAGCAAAATGATTGAATTCAAATGACGAAAAAACACACCTAGCAAAATGAGATTTCAGTTCATTCACAATACTTCCATTTTTCCTATCATAAAGACGATCAACGTCAAAGATGTTACTATGTATATTATACAGCTCAAAAAGATCCACACTGCCGTTTTGTTACGGCCCTTATGGTACCCCATGACTAATCGAAGTTTCCTTCTGGTTTGATATTTCGAATTTGTGACATGTTTCACAGGCAGATACAAGTTGTTTGATGCACCAGGCCAAAACATACATTCACGAGCTAAATACACAGTTACCTTTAAAATTAATAGCATTCTCTATAGTAAGTTCGTCACTAAAACTAAAATATGGAGTATTCTTTAGGCAAATGACTTTTAGTAGCAGGCCATCCGTTTTTTATTACACTATACAACAATTCAAGAACCGGATCATCTCGTGTAGCTTTAACAATTTTATCAAGTCCTGATTTGATTATTCCTGATAGTGTTTATATTTATCGTAACAGTTAAATCATAGTATACACCAGAAAAACCATAAGATTTTATAGGACATTTAACAGGGGAATGATTCAGCTTATCACATTTCTTACACTTTTGCCCCAAAACAGGACAGGATTCCTTCTTCATGACAGTTTTACCAATAACCCAAACCTCAAATTTATCTCAGAAAGTCATAAGAATAATGTTATTTATTTAACAATATATTTTACAAACACAAAAATAAATGCAAATGTAGACATTTAGTCTTTTTTTCTAAAAGGCATATAAGGCTACCTTAAGATGGCCATTAAGAGTATATATCCATCTTTAGAGCTACCCAGCTACTGTAACTATATTGATTGAATTGGATTGAATTCGGCTTGTAACCTGACTGAAATAGGTCTAAAGCTCTAAAGCCTCAAAGCTGTACAACTGGGCTGAAGGATGCGTTGAATGACAGGTTTGTAACAGTAATTAATATATGTACACGGAACTTCATAGATGGCAAGAATGATCCTGCTATAAGGAATTTGACAAAACGCTTTCAAAAGTTACGTTGTTAAATGGGCTTATCGGATTATAGAGGTATTCTGTTTATTTCAGACACCAGGTAAGCCCACTGATGAAAATATACTCTTATCGACCAAATTTCCAAAGTTTCATTTTATGTGCATTCTAAGAGGCAGTATCTCTTGAACACACTTAACACAGTGAAAGTGCATATTTATATGTACTTCCGATCGGTTCGTGGTCGGTCCTCCATCCTCTAAAAGCGCGCAGATGAAGTTAAAAAAAGGAAGGTACATGTCAAGAAGACTGCTCTTGGATCAATTTATCAAGTTTTTCTTTATTCCATTTGGTTGTTAAATCTTTTTCAACTCGTTCCATAAATGCACTGTGGGCTTGGCGATTTCTCCGTCGATGTCTCTGAAAGGAATTTTGTAGTGTAGTGTAATCGTTCAAGGCAGACAAAAAAAAAGAATATAAATAAATTATTAAATTAATAAATTAATTAATTGATAAATAAATAAATAAATATCTCGAATTCTAGTTTGTATTTGTAACTTACCGTAAACACGGGGTCACGAGGTGGATATGTCCCCCTCTCGAGTATCAAACTAGGATCATAACGAGGCTGGCGTTGTAGAGGAGGCGCCATTTCGGGGAATTCGGCTGATAAAAACTCGGCTTCTGATGCAGTTAGTCCTCTTACTGAAAAAATAATTATTATATTATAATATTCTATAAGTGACGGAATTGCTTGTACTGGTTATTTTTTTAACTCTTAAAATTGGAAACATGTACAATCATTTAACTTTTGTTATTGAGATCCCATTTGCTACAGGCTGTGAACGTTAAAGATCCTTCAATAATTGGAAATATAAAAGAAGTAGGCAAAGTCGCTGTTCCGGCAAATTTTCTCCCATTGCACACTGCATGACGTCATCAGCCCATAAGGTGCAGACAAGTAAAACTCCATTTGTTTCATTTCAAGTCAGTTTTTGTGAATAGGTTCCCTATAGAGTTGAAATTTGAAAAAGGGCAAGTTACTTACTGACGTTAAGTCGCTGAGAATAAAATTTGATGTTGTAGGGATCCCGTTCTTCAGCTAAATCCATTTCATCTAAACCAAGTGATTTTAATGACGGATACTGAAACAAAATACATGAAAAATATAATTGTTTTTCGTTTGAATGTACGAATTAGGGAGGAGAAAATGGATTATTGTTTTGAGTATGATTTTGAATCAGAAAATGTGAAGAAAAATATCTTACAGCAAGAAAGAAATATTCATTTTGTTCCATTTCATTTTTAAAATAATTTTGATTCAATAATATTGACGCCAAATTGACTACTTTCAAAATCTTCTATCCTTTCTCATTTTAGTGCATCTTGGCTTTTGAAACCCACCCTACGAATTAGACAGAAATTAATTTCCCATGAAGGGAGATAACTATTGCTAATTGTGAGTGATGTTTGATATGTGGGAAGGGGGTATTTTGCAAGAGCCATGAGAAGAAGCTTGAGTGACCAGAGTCACGTTTTCAATCTATCGGATTATAGTGGCCGCACTAGCCATCCTAGACTGGAGGTACAAAAAGGTGGCAGACTGACTGAACCGTCGAGGTTGAGATTGAAATTTCAGCAGCTGCGTGGTGCAAGCCTCCCCTAAAGCGTCTAAATGGGATATCTTCCCTTAATATTTTGTGAAAATTAGAAGTTATTTGTGGCATGTAGTGTGCATTCAGGAATTTTTTGTAATCTATTTCCCTTACATTTTGAATTGTAAGGCCCCCCTTGAACATTCAACCGTTTTGATGACTCCGCCAGGCAACCAAATTTCTTGACGCGAACAATAGGCGCATTCAGTGTCTAATGCTTCTCTGAATGCACCTTTTGTTCTCGTCACAAATTTCCAGCTTTGGACAGTGCAGAAATCTGATTGGTTGACGGTGTCATCAAACGGACGAATGTTCAAGAGGGCCTCTTTAATGACTAAATTTAAATTAAAAGCTAATTAAAAGCTAATTAAACGGATCGAAATTTTAATCAAACGGAATACTCACGTCTCTGAAATCGAATGGTTTGGGTGTTTCATATTCACCAGGCACATTCATTCCTTCTCGTACAAACTTTTTCTTCGCAGTAAACGGGCGATCAATGCGAAACCTTAACTTGAAATTCTCCTTTTCGTCTGAATGGTGTCTGTTTAGAATTAGCGGTAATAGTGTCCGTTTTTCTCTGGTGTATATTTCCCGTTGGCATGGAATAGTACCATAGTTCCAAGGCTTCATGGAATCTACTGTGTTGCGTTTCGGCGGATTCGGGTCGAAGACTTCGTAACGGAAATCCGGTGGTGGCCGCCTCCAAATGTTATTGTCCTTTGGTCGTTCTTTAACTGCATACGTCAAGCTTCTGCGTAAACGTAAACCATCATCTGCGTCAAACGAAGTCTTCGCATGAAATCCAAACGGTACGATTCCAAGCGAGTCTTTGCTACTGGAGGCTGTGCTAGGTCGACTCATAGTGGATTCTTGGTTGCACCTGCATATAGAAAAAAAAACAGTACATGCCATTCAATGAAAAGAACTATATACAGCGATGTAGTCATTTTCAGCTATCTGTAAAACTTTACAGAATAAATATCTTGCACATAGTTCGTATACATGTACTACCGAAAATAACTCCTGGCAAGTTTCATACAGATGAATATGTACAATGACGTCATAACATTGGCAATATCCGCACGAAGGAATGCTAATAATTGTCCAGAAACTTGTGCTTTCGCCACTTCCGCCAATTCGTTTTAGTCCAGTCAATTTACACCAAATTAGAACACTTACAGACTCAAGACCTTTTGTATTAGTTAGTAGCCTAACACCGGACTTCGATTTTTGACTAGCAGTGAGACATAAGCATTTATTATACTATTTTTAGAACAATTTCCATAGAACCCATGAATCGCATAATGAATTGATTTTTGTCATGACAAGTAGGCCTAATGAATATCAAGCTACTGCATGGTTCTAAATATCTGACGCCGTGTGCTAAATGTGCTTATTCGAAATCAGTTATCTCCCTTAGCATCTTAAAACATGAACCTTGCAGTAGACTTGCAAGTTTGCGAGAAATCATCTAACTCACTTGTCTCGGCGCTACTTCACTTATGTACCTCTTTATGATCTCTTTTTTATCCACTAAAATACGACAGGATGATGTTCTAGACCCTATTCTGAGTATTCTCATCAAATTTTAAATCAGTGCTTGGGAGTGTGGAGGCATGTGGCGATACGTAGGGTCTACAACTTGCACCACAACGCCCTACATTTAATTACACTGAAATTCTACATGGAAATACAGCTGTCCTAATGATTGTGTTGAAGTGAATAGAGAGTCACGAAGTCGTTCCGGGTGATTGATGGAGATTTGAGCTGTGTGTATTGTTACTGTTCAGCAGACACACATGAGACACTATAGTTATGTTTAGGCAAAACAGATAAAAATCGTAATTTATCGGGTAGGCAACAATCGGGTAATACAAACCAATTTTCAAGGGGGGCAAATGCACAGTTGGTTAGAGCGTGGGTCTTTACAGGACTCCACTTGCATGATTACGTCGAACAATTGATGGCTATGGGTTCTAATCTCGATTAAAGTCCAATGACCTTAAATAAGTCAGTCGTAATCCCACTCCCCAGCTGAAAATGGGCAGGCCTACAAATAATGCCAAGAAAGATAAATGCCAAGAGGACTAGCTGGTAGAAAGGATCCTTAGTTGAGAATCTTAGATGTTCTTATTGTAAATTTATTTGAATTTGTACTTTGGCCTACATTCCAAATTACAGTCGGCTAACTATTTATATTGCCTAGTCGATAAATCATTCAGTTTCAGCCACCCGTATCAGAATGGAAATGCCACTTCGTCTTTAGTAGATAACAATCACAGACAGTATTCCTTCATTTATTTTCATTGTAACATACATTACAGAAATCTGTTATATTTAATCAGAGACGAACCTGAAGTATGATATTCATATTTAATAACTATGTAAAGTACTACGTGTATTTCCATTTGTGGGAAAATTTATCACATTAGAATAATGCTGATAAAATATTCAACTATAGAAAGAAATGAAATGGAGTTTTACGTCCTACTTACATGCTGATGATTGGGCTAATTTGACAGACCATTGAAAGAAAGGACAAAATAGACTAAATAAACCTTTAGCGACATCTAGCGGTGACATTAAATAACGGAAGAAAAATCATGGTTTACTTATGTCACACGTTTCAACAATTTACATTTCATCTGACGATGACAACGTGAATTGTTGAAATGATGTGTACAATAAAATTTAGAAGTAGTAAACCATAAAATTGTATTCCGTTAACATACAATGATATTTATATACACAATAGAAAACAAAAATAACCTCTCCTATCTGCTTACTGACGATAATTTAATCTTAATTTTTGGTTCATCTACGTCGTAATTTGCATAAAAGCAATATAGTATGTTTTAGAGGTATGACGGGCCAATTATACACCCCTTTCAGAGAGTTCACAATTTACATAACAGGTAATGTTTGAGGATACATTTTCTTTTATTAAGAATCGGAAAGAAATGTTTTCATATCTAGAAAAGATGATTCCGTGACTTCGACTTGAGAACTCACTTCCACTGGTTGGTCTTTAGTGGAGGTAGGTAGCTTAATTGTGGTGTATCGAGAATAACCGTTCATTTTAGCGAACAGAAGTCGTAATACACGTTCTTTTTGAAGCCAGGTCAGGTCACTGATGTCAACTTGACCTTTGACCCGACGTAGGTTATTTATAGTTTCTGTTTCTTCCAATGCAGACATCGAAACACAACCACGTGACTTCCAATTTGATTTCGTATTGGCTATTTCCAATCTCACGTGATCCAAAGCGTCCATGAAAAAACCCTCCACTTCCGTTCTTTGCTCAAGTATTGTTTTGGCCAATTTCTTAATTTTAGCCATTTCTCGGGTTTTGAGCTCAAGTACTCTTTGCAGACGCTCTAGTTCTTCTTTGATTGACAGCACCTCGCTACCGGAAGTAGCAACCATTTTGTTTTTCTCCTCATCAAATTCCCTGATGATATGTGTTAAAGAATTTTCCAAAACTCCTACTTTGCCTTTTGTTGTCGCTAATTTTTCGTGTTCCATTTTCGCTTGTACCATTTGTTTGTTAAGTGTCATATTTTTTGTCGACAGTTCCTCGAATAATTCCTTATTTTCTTGGGTAAGAAAATCATTTGACTTTAGCAAGCGTTCATTTTCGGAAATTTCCATGGCAAGCACTTCCTTTAGTCTGACATTGTCCTTGAAAACCAACTTTGTTGCTTCGTCTAAGTTGCTAATGGCTTCCTTCTGTGTCTTTTCAGTTATTTCCATCATCTTCGACTTCGTTTCTTTTTCCAACCGACATTTTTCCGTAAGGAATTTCTTTTCCAGATTCGAAAATTCCAATTGATGACTTTTATTCGAAATTTCGAGAGTTTTTTTCAGTTCTGCAATTTCTGATAACATTTCCCGCCGATTTTTTCGAAATTCCCGCGCAAATTTGAGCTCATCTTTGAGCAAATTAACCTCCTGATTTTTGGCCTTCAACTTTTCATCCAAATGACAGATTTGCTTGGTAAAATCTTGTATTATTTTTTCCGTCTCCTGGCGATGCGTTTTCTTCAGGCTCCTTTCTTTCTCCTTCTCACCCTGAAGCTCCTTTTCAAGATCCGACATTTTGTTTTTCTGGTATTTTATGACATCAATGGTGTCACGTTCGTTTTTAACCAATAAGGAGTTGAGATCTTCATTTTGGTTTGCCAAACGCTGGGCACTGGTTTTATATTCGTTTTTGGAAGCTTCGGTAGCTACCAATCGTGTTTCCCATAATCGGGAATTGGCTGCAGAAAACGCAAGCATGTTTTCGTAGCTTCTTGCACGGAACAAATTGGTTCGTGGTGGCTTAACTGGACCTTGTCTAGACCCTTTCTTAGATTTATCCATCTTTAAATTTCAATGAGTCTTTCAAAGCGAAAGGGTATTGCTCGAACAATATCACTTATATATGCCAAAGATGTTTGATGTTTTACGTCCTGTGATATTTCACAAAAGCACTGGTCTAGGTCACAGAAACACAATGGCCCCACTGCTATATCATCACATTTCTTTTAAAGACAGTCTTTGTTAAATCGTAGTTTTCCAAATACGTCTATAACAGCAGTTAGCATTTTTTTTGATAGAATACAAATATGTAACGGAATTTCGATTTTCTATGAATTCATTACATAAAACATCAAACATTACATCAACAACGGTGTCATTTCCCTTGCAAATCATGTCAATATTTTTATACGTTCTTAGACAACAAAAATAAGGTCCAAAGGTAATTACTTCTGGTGAAAATGCTCAACAAATTGTACGATGCGAGTTAGGCTACTCCCCTTCAACTGTTTACTTTCACACGATGATTTTTATACCTCAGTATTTCGAGCACTATTCAGAATATAAATATTCGAATTTAACAATCTTTTGTATACTTTTATATATCATAAACGTCTACACCTTAAACAATTCGTTACCACTTTAACGTTGACGATTCGTGATCACTTTAACGTGAGCAATTCGTTGCCACTTTAACATTGGCAATTTGTAAGAACATCAACATTGGCAATTCGTTGACAAAACAAAATCGCCCGTTTGTTTACAATTTAGCATGACAGATTATCCATAATAAAATTTGGCAGTTTGAACCACACTGAAAGTAGCAATTTGCTAATACGCCAGACATATCAGTATCACACAGAAACTGTTTACAAATTCATGTCGGCAGTTTATTTACAAATTTTGTTTCAATCCTGCAGGATTAAGCTTTAAAAATGTCTCATTCACAAAGATCGCTTCCTAATATAATTAACTCTGTATTACAGCTTGTGGTATCACAGTAACGTCACTTTAAGCAATTAGTCATTCAAAGGTTTCCTTTCCTTTTGGATGTATCATTGAAAAATATGTCCTGTCTCTCGTGCTGAATTCAGGTCACTTCTCGCTTAGGCCAATAACAAAAATGGCATTATTAACAGGCATCGGTTTGGAATCACAAATTCACGAAAGGCTTTAAATCCGACGTTCTTGGTACTTTATGAACTATGGCACAAAATATACCACAATTATCTGCCATTTTCCAGTATCAAAATACGCCCTATGTTTTTAATATTTGCTCTAATTTTAAACTCTATAGACCTTCTGAACATCACCTTTAACCTTTGAACCTCTAACACACGGAAGTTATCAAAATATGAACGTTTCGTATCCGAAAACCAAACACACAAATGTTATCAAATGTTTTACATAAACTGTGTTGTTATTCACAGATTATCATCACGCGTAGCTCAAAATGGCTTTAAAGTGACGAAGCATTCAAGGTTGCCATGGCGATATTGATATTTTAGCAGACGGCTCTGTGTAGGTTTTGATGACAAACAATATCAATAACTATATTTATTGTGAAAGGTGTGGACTAAAATCGATTCTTTATCGAGGTATTAAAGTAGAAATAATGACGAATTTGCATTTTGTTAGTAGCAGCTGGAGCAGGAGTTAGAGGCGTCTCCATTCATGCCTTGGAAATCATAAGGTGGGCGGCCGAGTGAGGGCCACAAAATTGTATAGGCACCGGAGAACTCAATGACAATAAAAATTTGAAACTGTAGCCAGGACTAAAAAAAATAACTCAGCAGTGTGCCCCACCCCCTCTCCCCCTACCCTTGTAGAAAAGCCACTGTTTGCCTACGCGGGCCACATAGATGTCAAAGCGCTTGGATAACATAAGATAAGATTAGATAAGATAAGTTTATTGTATCAAATAAACCCATTAAAGGCATCATACAACCACTGATACATTTGGAAAAGATACAAAATTACAGAATTAAACAGGCGTTTAAATGATAATACATAGTAATAATTCACAGGGAAAGAGGTATATATTTATGATAAAGAATACAACGCTTAAGAACCTGATGAAAACTATAATAAAGACACAAATAAAATTTACATGAAATTGCATGTAACATTAATATACATCATTATAGTACACGATACACGGTATAATATAGAATATTTAATGCATTTGAACAGTTCAATTATTCGTGACAAATAGTTGAGCTGTTGACTCACGTGTGCGTAGGACTCTATTACTTGAGGTCCGAATAGTGACGTCATCTTATGTGGAATTGCAGGAATCACAGACGTCTGATCAAATTGGAATGGTGCAAATAGATGCTATCAATGTCCCCGATAAACATAAATAATTTAGAAAACCCCTTTACAATCCTTTCAATACAGAAATATATCATGCTTACCTTAGTAACTTTATTATTATTATATAGTCAAATACACGGCAGTCTAGTTGTGAAAAACTTGACGAGACAATTAATCCTATTTTAGTTGGTATAGGTTGTTATAATGTCTTAAAGAAGCACTGGCCGAGGTAACAATCACTTTCCCATAGAAGCACCGACTCAGGTCGCAATTATTGATTTAACTAGTTGTGTACAGTTAGTATTGACTGAATTGTACGATTATAAAAATAACAATATACTAAAACCTACTAATCCCGCTATACTTAGTTACCTAGCTACCTAGCTTTAATCATATACAAAATCATATCCACACTTCAAGCGACTTGTTAGCCTTGTCAATTAAGTTATACAAAAAAAATAGAAAATACCATATAAACATTATGAGCTATGTGAACTCTCCTATAGACATCCCGAGATGACTGATACAAAGATACAAAACTATATAGCTATTTGATGCTCAATTGATAATCTGAAATATCAAATTAACATTAACATTGCTCCGTGAACTCTCCAAATACAAACTTAGTTAACATAATACAAACATACTTTAAAATGACAATTTGTCACCAAAATACTTTAAGATTTTGATTTTCAAAATGATTGACAACATATAGTTGATGCTTTTTCGTTTACAAACTACAAAATTTTGTCAACAAATATCAAAATTCTTTACAAATGGCAATTTTGTCAACAAAGTACAATTTCTTTTTTTTGCAAAATACATAAATCTTTTGAAGCCTCTATCACATTGAAAAATATTAACCAAACTGTTCCTTTAAATGAAATACGAACTAATCTATTGAAATGTGTATAATATTTATTTGGTTGTCAAACACGGTTGAATAATTGTCCCAAGATATGTCATATCGCAATGACTTTGTACGTGTATTGTATGCATTGATGTTGACTAATCTATTTAATTTCTATAGAACATAGGGACCCCATACCGAGGTTTAAAGAGGCACTGTCGTCTCGAGCACTTAATTCGGCGATATTTACAGGCAAAAAGTGACGACATTCGGGCTTGAATTGCATCTGAACTAGGCGTAAGATATTATTTTTAAAAAATGTTACAGATAGGTGAAATTGAGCTTTTTGATATAGTATCTAAGCTATTAATTGCATTTTGCTATTTCGATATCTTCAAACATCAGAATCTCAATCTACCAACATTGCAATCGGACCTGGTGTTGAATATTCAATATGAAAAGCTACAAAGCTTATATCTGAAACAAGCCAATATACGGAATATTCCAGACGACTGTATCCATAGGGCAGACAAGTAGTGTTTTTGCAGACTCGTGCCTTCGGAGCTCGGAGTAATGCTTAGCCCGACATCTCAAACCTTCAAAATTTTCGGGCAAACCAGCCTCCCTCCTGCCCCCTTAAACAGGCTTTCGAAGCGTACACCTAAGACTGTATCCCTTCAAATAAAACATTAGAACTCGGGATCGATTGGGGGTTCTAAGATGGTGGCATACATGGCAACTGCATGGTGTGTACTAAGATGGCGGTAACAATTCATTCTGGTATACCATAAAGTCAATAAATCACAAATTAAGGGTATACGAAAATAGCGATCAATCTAATAGGTCATAAATCGACAGTTTAGATTACCGTCGTCATAATTAAGTCATCAATATTCCAAAATAGACCAAATTTGATAAAAAATCTGCGCCATTTCACCTAATGAACTCAGAGGTCGTAGACTGACTAAAGTAGAGATTTATTTGTCCCATATATCAATTGTCCAAAATTTCTGATGATATTATATATAAATACCAAATTTTTATCGAGTATTTTACCTCATTAAGCACGTAAGAAATAAGTACACCGTAATTCGTTTCAAAAAAGTTGAATATTGTGTTATATTAAATGCCTAATTCAGAATTAGTTGTGATTTAGATTTGGATATATTGTTAGGAAGGTAAGTGGATGTCAGTTTCAAATCTGAATGTTTCGTTTCGCGTTTGATTTATAGATTACTCCAATCTCCATGTTGGACAGTGTCCGTAAGGCTGAATCTATCTCCCAAATGAATGGAACGTGAAGGTTCAGTCAAACGGTCTACTGTGAAAGTTCTGCTATCGCTCTGCAACACAATATACAGAAACTACCGAGCATTGCCGAATGTGGTTCTGAAGCACAGCCGGTTAGAACATTGGGAACTTTACGTGATGTCTTTGCTGAAGTACGTCGAACATTGTAAATTTCGATGCAATCGATGTGTAGCTATGGCGTCCACGTAACCCCAATTTAATTTATTACACTAAAAAAAAACAAAGTTTAAAGCTGGACATTAACAGGCTACTGTACATCTTTAACGACATCCATTACTACTAACCAGTTTGGCAGTTAAACACCACAAAGCGTCAAGATGAATTGTTATCGGTCCTAACTAGCTTATATAACCCGAAATAATGGCTCATAATAGCTTGTTATTGTCTGTAATATCATGTTTGAAATGTCAACTAAGTACCACCAACTCAGTTATTTATAGTAATTGACAATCCCTGCTGGTGTAAAGCAGGCCCGAGATTATATAATCAAACATGGTTATTATAACCCCTTTGACATTACAAAAATTAACCGGAACGGCTGACTTTTTAGCCATGTAAAGTGGTATGCAATCTGAAATCCGTTTCAATTCTTGCCCTCCAAGAGAAACGGTTCTCAGAATGAACTCGATAAATTGGTGCAATCTAAACTCCAACCTCTCTCAAAACGGATTACTGCCCAATAAGCGGCATCACATTTTCCCGCGGAATTTCTTCATTATTCAATGTCATTATTATGTATACCTGGGTGACCACAATGATAAAATTCAACTTCTTTAAGAAGAGTTCCACAGGTAAGCTTGCTGTGAACGGTTTCGAATTACACACTAACCGTTCTCAGACCACTTGATTTTACTGTAATGTAAATGGACATTTTTTCACTGCCTTGTCCGGACCGAGAACGATTCTGTTTATAGCGTGTATAGAGTCTCCATTGGAACAGCTTCAGATAATCTAGGCTCATGTTAACTAGGCTTGACTTCATATTACTAACATAAATATTACCAAGCTGCAATTGTTATGTTACACGATACACTACAACATAATGATTTTGTTGTACAAACTCTTTTCACAACTTTTGGATTGGCACAAAATACATGGAATTTACGATAATCGAAATAAACAAACCTATTTTACAAAGATAACAACTAATGTCATTGAAGATTCTGTCTACAAGCTGTTCCTTATAACAACAATATTTTACGAGGATGACTGGGCCTTAAGGGTTTTTATTTTACGCGGATAGGTTCACGCATACTAATTAAAACCCAAATTAGGTTACAATTTCTTTAGTTTTTTCCTGATATTTTTATTTCCCACTGTAATCTTACAACCTTTCTACTGCACCCACGTTCTTATGGTGTTATTGTTAACTAAGCGTGGTGAGTTGCGTAGAGCCCGTTCTTTGATAAAAAAAAATGCATTGGTTTATGGGTTTGACGAAAAATATATGGGGTCAAATGATCGCAGACAGTTTCCCTGTAAGCTAATGAAGTTATGCGTTATAAAACATCTGCTAGGCGTTTTAGTTAGAAATTTTGTTTTGAAAAATATGCAGGTGAATTTTAAGGGGAAACTACAATTATTGTCATGTCAAAATATCATAGTCTTTATGTCTGATTAAATATAACTTCATATGCGGTGGCTCAGTGAATAAAAAATGTATAATTGAATACCAATAAGGTCTAAATAGTAGGATATAAAACTCCATTTCATCAACACATCCAGGTAAAAATAATATGGTGTAAAAATCTATTTCTTTTATTAGCCCAATTAGTGAAATAAAAAGGAAATCATAATGACGTAATATTTCATTTCCTTTCCATCCGACATCGACATTAGTATATTTTTTTCAATTCTATCACGTTTTTGATGACAAATCTACAAAAACTCACGAATAAGTTGCCATTAATTATAAAATGTTGTCATTTTGTATAATACTAATTTATATAGGTTCTAATTTGTCGTTATAAATACTAAATATGAAATAATACAAATAATATTTTCCAAGTTTCCTTGGTCAGTTAGGTGCAGAAAAGTACGACGTAACACTCCATTTATTTCATTTCCTGATTTAAAATCCCCAAAATAGCCCTTGACGGTTGCATCTATACGTTTCAGACATGGCTTGACTTTGACCTCGTCTTTGAAGACTATTAAGTAATCCGGATGTCCAAAATATTTGATAGTTATTTACAAAATTGAAATATTTGAGTGCAATCGGAGTTAGTTGTGGCCGTTGGAATGTGAGGGATAAATCTTTCGACTACTTCATTACTGTCCGAAACACAATAATAGCTGGAAGGAGGAAGTACACCAAAGGAAGACAAACCACACCAACTATTTTTGTTTCTCGACCCCCTAGATACATGGAATGGCACCCAAAAAGTAAAAAATACTCAAACCCAAACCTTCTCAGCCATTTTCTTTCCACCCTATCTCTTTGTGGGGTTTGGGGTGCCACAAGGAGTATACCCTCGCGCCCCCTTTGAAAAATAGATTGTACCCCCACCACATTTCTAAGAAATTTCAAAATATGATTTTTATACATTTTTGTCGCCCCCAAATTAAATCAGTCTGCTCTCTGTTTGTAACCCCAGTTTCAGTTTCAGGCCTCTTTAGACATCTCTTTTATTTCGCCCATCTCAGGGTGATGATCATAATCGGAAATTCATGATGATGAACTTTAAACATATTTAATCTGAATAATGATGATAAATCGTCATCTTTTCGGCTTGTCTTTTGAAGTGATTTTGACAATCTGTCAATCTACGTCATTGTGTTCGTCTGCCGCCTTGTCACAATGTCGTATGCCTTTAGCCCACTCTCGCCATCTTAATTCATTTAAAATTAAAGAGTGGAACGAACAAGGTGACCAACAGACCGGAGTAACAGACTTATATAAGAGAAGGCCAGAAGCCTAGGATATTTGTTCAGCAGTATTTATTTATATTTTCAAGGTTGGATGGCGGCCATGGATAAAAGTTTCGTATGGTTATTGTTATTACTGCTTTACAAAGGTAAGTTAAAATTGTATATAATTTACTAGAGTTCATTTAACACTGCGACATTAACCCGTTCCTACATTAGGATGCAAAATTTCATGTTTGATATCGTAGTTCCAACTTTTGGATGAAAATTTCATGCTTGATATCGCTCGCAGTTCCAACTTTTGGATGAAAACTTCATGTTTGATATCGCAGTTCCAACATTTGGATGCAAATTTCATGTTTGATATCGCAGTTCCAACTTTTGGATGAAAACTTCATGTTTGATATCGCAGTTCCAACTTTTGGATGAAAACTTCATGTTTGATATCGCAGTTCCAACTTTTGGATGAAAATTTCATGTTTAATATCGCAGTTCCAACTTTTGGATGAAAAATTCATGTTTAATATCGGAGTTCCAACTTTTGGATGAAAATTTCATGTTTAATATCGGAGTTCCAACTTTTAGATGAAAATTTCATGTTTAATATCGCAGTTCCAACTTTTGGATGAAAATTTCATGTTTAATATCGCAGTTCCAACTTTTGGATGAGAATTTCATGTTTAATATCGGAGTTCCAACTTTTGGATGAAAATTTCATGTTTGGGATCTCAGTTCTAACTTTTGGATGAAAATTTCATGTATGGGATCGCAGTTCTAACTTTTCGATGAAAATTTCATGTTTGGGATCGCAGTTCTAACTTTTCGATGAAAATTTCATGTTTGATATCGTAGTTTAAAGTGATACTACGTCTTAGAATGAACATAAAATTTAAGTTCTCAAGAATGGTCAATATCAGTGAACTTTCCTGGTGTCATAAAGGTTCAATAGAATCCCTGTAAAATCTGGAAAATTGGAAAATTCATAAAAAACTAAGTAATTTTTGAAAAACGCTTAATCTTGATAAGCGTTTTTCTATAGTTAATTGCATATTTATGGATAATTACTAAGTTTTTTGGATTTTGCCGATTATATAAGGATGCTGTTAAGTTATTGATGACACCAGGTATATCTACTGGCTCTTATTTGCCAATTTAAAATTCTTAAATTTTATCTTCATTCTAAGACGTAGTATCACTTTAAACTTTTGGATGAAAATTTCATGTTTGAAATCGCAGTTCCAACTTTCGGATGGGAAATACTACTTTTGGGTTAAAATTTCTTACTTCTTCGATTGTAATTTGGAACAATAATTGCTGGAAATTTGAAATTTTCTTTTGAAATTCTTACAATTGAGAGAATTTTGAATTTTGAGTTGAAAAGAAATTTCTAGTGTAATTGTTTTAATGCGTGACCTAAACAGCGTATTGTTTTCTGACGAATTTCGTGAAATTATGTTAATGTTGTAATTTTACAACTGAAATCTATGTTCTAAATAGCTACAGGGCACCATAAATTTTAGTTTTTGTCAGAAAATTAAGATTCGTGTTGACACTACATAGGGTAATGATTTCTTTATTTTTGTGAATTCTAGTATATAGTACAAGCGCGTGTGTGAGCGAGAATTTCATTGACGGGGGAGAGGGGTATGCAAACGCAGCGGTGCCCTTTTGCGGATTTTTTTGGACACGAATCATGGTGGGGTGTTTTCAATTTTCTAATATGGGAGCCAAAGAACGATTTAGAAGTGGAAGTAGAATAACTTTTCCATTTTTTATGGCCCAAAAATTACCGCCTAAATACGCCACTGTATAGGTGAAAATTGAACGGCAATTTGTGACTTTTTACGGAACATGTGATTTGTCTGTATTTCAAAACATCCCTTAAGCGAATACATGGGTATATTGAAAATAATAAGTCCTTTCTCTCATCTTACACACATTTACAGGTTAAAGACTTTGATAATTTTCTTTTAAATGTCTATCGATGTGAACTTTTATCTCGTACAAAACATATCTTGATTGAGAAACCGAATGATACATAGATGAAGTCAAAGTTTCAAACGGTTTACACAATAGAGGAATATCCATGAGTTATTGTCGATCTCTTCTATTAGCTTCTGATCAAACTAAATGGTACTTGCGATAGTGACGTGATCTTATGATCAAATAGACCAAGTACCCCGGATTGATTAAGTTCGTGACACAGCAATCAAAAACATGCATGAAACTAATTATTTTTATATAAAAATGAAATATATGATCCAATTTTTGACACTGAGTGATGCTTTACTAAAATCTGGACAATTTATTTTCACTTTTGATGGATAATTATTGTCATGAAACATATTCTTACGCAGTGTTAATGAGGAAGTGTTTGCCAGTTTAGAATGAAACAACCCCCACGCCAAACGAATAAAACCCTCAATTTGTAGCTTAATACATTCTCCCATTGCTCATTAATATATGCGTTTTGGAGTCAATTTTGTCGTCGGTAGAGAGAGTAATCCTTATTTTATTCATTTGGTTATACCATTTTCACAGTTAGCTTTATTTTCAACTCTTTATCATAATATTTCAAAATATACACAGTTAATTGGCGCGCAGCGAAACTTCGCGAAACTTCGTTCATAAGAGAATTTCTTAACACTTATAGCGTATATTTACACCATTCCGATTTTTCAAGACATTGAAAGTGTAGCAGGGACGCTTATAGCTTCTATAATAATATTTATTGGTACATTGATAAAAGTACAATTCACAGGAACACACAAAAACAAGTCGATTATGACACCAGCTTTTTGTATATTGTGGTGGCTATCAGTGCTAACAAAATTAATCTAATCTTGATTTTATTGATTGATTTTAATTGCTCTACAAAGTAACAACAAACAAAGCATACCACATATTTTTGTACATATATTATTCTTCATTACACTATAGAAGAGCGTTTGTTAATCTGAATATCAATGTTAAAATCATTTAAATAAAATGAACTAAATTATCATTGGTTCGATATGGCGAAAGCATTAACGCCAAGAACAATAAACTTTGCTTTCTTCGTTTTCTGTCATTCCTGATATACTTCTCTTGTAAAGATATACGCCTTGTTGTGCCATCATCATCTGCCTTTGTTCACACGTTCAGTTTAGGTCTATACTTCCAGATTTTCCTGGTGCGGATGGTCTGTCCGAGGCGTGGCGTGAACTCAATTAGTCAATTCGATATCATAATCCTAGTGAATGTTTGTTTCTCTTGAATACTTAATAAGTTCTTTTTATTTCCAGGTTCACTTGGAATTCCTCAAAGTGACCTCACCGTTCCAACAACGGGCTCCGTTAACATACTGGCGACTGGAACCGATTATAGTCGTATTGGACACTCACGACCAGCTGCAATCGGAGGTTCAGCCATTACTACACAATTGGATATTGGTCAACCGAGTAGCGACCAATTCGTCGTCGATCTGATGAACAATAACCCTGCTTCCAACTCCGGTAGCAACGTAGCCCTGAAAGATTTTGGTGGTTCAAGTTCACGATTTGATCCACAGTCAAGTTCCTCATTAGGAGTAAGTAGCGGTGTCAACATCCTCGGCGTGCCCGGGTCGGCACCAGTAAGTGGAAACACCCTTTCCGGAACTACACAGTTTGTCCTTACGCAACCAGAATACAGCGTAGGACTACCGCCAACTCCAGCCCCTTTCGAACTTTTCCAAGGCGAATCGATGAGTTTCCGACCACCTTCATCTGGAATAAGTCCAGACCAACAGTTGATTGCTAACATGGAAACAGCACCGTATAACCCATCCACAAACGAATTCGGTGCCTTTTCTCCTACAAACTTCAATCCACAGTCACTTGATGCTATACCAACATTGTCAACAGATTTTGGCACAAATCCCATACCCTTCAAAGCAGGATCATCCAATTTTGATCTTACAAATTTCGACAGAAGTGATGGACCGACAAACGTCCCTTCAGTCATTGGTACCAGCAATTTCCCATTACCGTCATTCGACCCGACATCAGGCCTACCAACTGGAACATCAGTTCATAATTCTAACAACGGAGTGCTTCCAGATCATGCCATGGATCTTCCACCTTCCAACAACGGATTTCTTACAGACAAAGCTGTTGGTACAACGAATTTAAATGAACCACGTCCATCATCGTCAGACAGTAGTGGTCCTCTGCCAGATCATGCTATGGACCTTCCACCCCTGAGAACTGGAGCATTGCCCGGACCGGATTCAAATATACCAATCGCTCCAAGTACATTACCGGATCACACAATGGATTTACCAACAAGTCCAAGTACTTTACCCCCAAACAAATATTCTAGTGCTTTACCAAAGGACGTTATGGATTTACTGACACTGAACCCTGGCGTTTTAAAAAATGATGCGATGGATCCCAACATAGGCTCATTACCGGATCACACTATGGATTTACCTCCCCAAAGCTCTGTCACATTATCAAATCATGCTCAAGATTTACCGCCACTGAATACTGGAACATCACCAAACCATGCTCAAGATTTGCCACCAAAGGGCAAGGGAACATCGGCCCAAGGCTCGCTTCCACAACGTATTTTAGCATCTCCAGATAATGTTGCACCGCAAGGAACCGAGACCAATATTCAGGATAATCATCTTGACCTATCATCCACCCATCGCGGGCAACTATCCAACCAAGATATGACTATGATCAACTCCAGAATCTCTGAAGGGTTTCCAGATATTTCACTAGGATTTGGAGCTGGAGCACCAACTACCAATACAAGATTTTATTCAGCACCTACTGTGGACTCACAACAACAAGATACCGGGTCAACACCAAAAACAGTAGATCATCCCACAACTGTACCCAGGAGTCAGACAGAGTCTGGCTATGCGCCCATACTAAACAATTCAGTGGATCTTGTCATTCCATCCAACAGATTCGTTCTAGAACCAACAATCGATTTAACTCTCCCCGACGTTAAACTATTACCAGAGCACCACATGGACTTACCAACAGCTAATTTTGGGAGTATTCCTGACCATTACTCGGATATCCCCCCCAGATACATCGGAACTACACCCCGAACTACATTCAACTCAGCTTCACCGAATACTGGTATTTCACCAGACGGCCCAACCAATACTGGCGCCATACCAGAAGGTGCTGCAAACGAAGCTTCAACCAATACTGGGACCTTATCGGGCGGTTCAATGAATGTATCCCCCACCAATACTTGGCCCTTACCAGGCGGTTCAATGAATGTAATCCCCACCAATCCTGAATCATTACCAAGCGCTTTTATGGATGTAGCCCAAACCAATATTGGACCCATACCAGATAGTTCGGTGAATACAAATCCAGCAACATTATCAAGCAATTATGTAAATGTAGCTCCTTCAATAACTGAAACATTACCAAGAGGTTCTAAGAATGTAGAACCTACCAAGCCTAATACTTTACCAAGCGGGTCCTTGAATGTAGACCCAACCAATACTAAATATTTACCAAGAAGTCCCCCGAATGTAGCCCGAACGAATCCTGAAACATTACTGACCGATTCCAAGAATATAGCCTTTTCCAATATCGGAACATTTCCAGGCGTTTCCATTAATGTAGCAACCACCAATACTGAAACTTTACCGAGCGGTTCCGTGAATGTAGCCCACTAAAAATCTTGAAACCTTACCAAGCGGTTCCATGAATATAGCCCCTAACAATCCTAAAATTTTACCAAGCGGTTCCGTGAGTGTGGCCCTTAACAATCCTGGAACATTACCAAGCGGTTCCCTAAACGAGACCCATACTAATCCTGAAACCTTACCAACTGATTCCACGAATATATCCCCTATCAATCCTGAAACATTGCCAAATGGTTCTGGGATTGTAGCCCCAACCAATACTGGAACATTGCTAAGCGCACTCGTGAATGCAGCAACCACCAATACTGAAACATTACCAAGCGGTTCAATGAATGCAGCCCCTACCAATACTGGAACATTACCAAGCGGACTCATGAATGTAGCAACCACCAATACTAGAACATTACCAAGCGGTTCCATGAAAGCAGCCCCTACCAATACTGGAACATTACCAATCGGACTCATGAATGTAGCAACCACCAATACTGGAACATTACCAAGCGGACTCATGAATACAGCAACCACCAAAACTGAAACATTACCAAGCGGTTCAATGAATGTAGCCCCTACCAATACTGGAACATTACCAAGCGGACTCATGAATGTAGTAACCACCAATACTGGAACATTACCAAGCGGTTCCATGAATGTAGACCCTACCAATACTGGAACATTACCAAGCAGTTCAATGAATGTAGTCCCTACCAATACTGGAACGATACCAAGCGGACTCATGAATGCAGCAACCACCAATACTGAAACATTACCACGCGGTTCAATGCATGCAACACCTGCCAATACTGAAATTTTACCAAGCGGTTCAATGAATTTAGCCCCTACCAATACTGGAACATTACCAAGCGGTACAATGAATGCAATACCTACCAATACTGAAACATTACCAAGCGGTACAATGAATGCCACACCTACCATTACTGAAACTTTACCAAGCGGTTCAATGAATGTAGTCCCTGCCAATATTGAAACATTACAAAGCGGTTCAGTGAATGTATCCCCTACCAATACTGAAATATTACCAAGCAGTTCAATGAATGTAGCACCTGTCAATCTTGAAACCTTACCAAGCGGTTTCGTGAATGTAGCCCCTACCAATCCCAGAACATTATCAGAATATTCAACGACTCTGACAGATGCTGTACTGGATGTAACACCACACACAACTACAGTTGATGCAGGACAATCTTCACAACTTACAGTCAGCCAAAAACAACTATGGGATTCAAAAAGTTCACCAAGCATACCACAAAATTCATTATCAAACGCTGATGGTGTTCCTGGTCAAACTTCGAATCCATTTATGATGCAAACAGCTCTTTCGGTTGGGGGTAGTGCACCAATGTTAGACTCTAGTCCAGGCGGCAAACAAGCTGAACAGCCCTTAGCAACGACACGCAACTCAGTATCTTTTCCCGAAATTACCGCACAGATGCCCACTAAAGCAATATTTAATTCTCAAGCAACACTGACGCCGGAAAATTCATCACCAACTAGCAAAGATCCTGAAGTGGTTCCTTCTGAATCTGATACTAATCAACTGCCAATCGATAACGGAGGGACGTCCGGTAGGGTGATACCCATTGGAGCCAATGACCTACCAACAACTCAATCTCTTCCTATGATTCCCGACATGACCGATCTTTTCATGAGAACCAATACCATTAAGACCGTTCCTACAAAACCGACCATTGCATCAAACCCTGCAGAGGTACTGGTTCCTGAGCAAAACGCCTCAAGCGGAAGTGGAATTCCCTCATTGCCCATTCCTAGTGCGATTGCAACGACCGTCATCTCGGATAACCCTGAGACAGGAAACCAAGGTGTAGGCTCGACGGATCGGTTTGGATTGAAGTCTTCACAGCCCACAAACACCGTCAGGACCACCTCCCAACTTCCACCAAACGTCAACACAATACAAAATGTTCCTAAATATCAATATGGTACTCAAGAGCCGTCCACACAACCACCAACCAACGTTGTAAGTCCAAAGGATCAGATCCACTTCCATCCGAGTCAACAAATTTCAACAAGTAAAGAGCACAACGCCCCAGCATCTCTACCATCGAATCCATCTCCCAGCTCTCCAAAGACAATAATTTCTGAACAGTATAAGCAGTTCCTTGCCAGTAGACTTCCAGGGAGCCCAGTGGCTCCTAACAGTCAAGGATTAACCCCGTCATCAGGTATGCCGCACTATCTTACTTCCAGTGCTCAACAGCCACCGTTTGATCCAAGACTTCGGCATTTTCCTCAAACAAGTCTCAACTCTCAGCAAACAGTACTCGACCCAAGGCAAATATATCAACAGCAGTTAGCTCATCGGGCATACAATGATCCACGGTTCCAACTAGGCCATCAAGCAACATATGCGGCAACAAATAAGCGTCCTCAAATACCAGTCCTGCCAGTTCTGTCCGCAGAACCAGCAAGTAACAATACGCTGAATGAATGGCAAAAACCCTTAACAGAACCACTACAACCTAGACCCACTCCCGGACTTACGTCCAATGCAGCTAGACTTATGGAACAGATACGGAAAATGTCCGGTGGGGTTGTTCCAAACCAGTCCAATCTACAGTCCATTCAAGAAGCTATGAAGCGACATAGTTTGAAATCTTTACCTATTGGCACCAACCCAGATACCAAGACTTCTACCAGCCATAGCAGTGCCCCTATGCAACAATCCAATGATTCACAAACAGCCAATAACATGTTTCAAAACATTCCAACTCAAACTGCTCGTCAGCCAACCATTCAACAACCTTCTATCGTAGCAGCTGACCTGATCAACCCATTGAAATCTACACGAAACCAGAAGCAGCAACCAAGCAGTGTCCAAAACCCACATCTTCAAACTCGGCATCACCATCATCAGAGTCAGCCTGTCAGAGCTCAGCAACCCAATCAACCAAATTTTGTCATTCATCCACGAATTCCTAGAACCCGGGTTAAACTAAACCATCAAGATACACATAAATCAATATATCCTCCAGGCTCCAAAAATGCCGAATGGGCTGTGTACATTCAACAAAATCCAGGGACAACACAAAATTCAGAAGCTCGCAAACGTCAACAGCAACCCCGTGGACAAGCTCATCAAAGTTTGCAAACCAATCAACCCGCCGGATATCAACATCCCCAACAAGCCCACGTACGACCAACAACAGTAGCTCATCAACCGATTCCTCAACAACCACGTACTTTACCAGCCGAGGTCCGTCAACAAATCAGACAGTCATCAGAGGTCCGACAAACTGCTCGACCTACTGCCACAAACTCAGCTTCTCAAGCGAATTCAAAAGATACTCAACTAAATACAAGAAACACAGCAACCCCTCCAAATGCGAGACAAGATGCCCAAATAAAAGCTAAAACCGTAGTTTCTCCGACCAATCGACAAAACGAGCTCGTATCAAAAGTATCTGAGATTCCGGGGATAAATACAAGACCACAATTCGTCGGTCAGCCTCCAAACACTAAAAGTTTATTGCGAAATGAAGCTGCACGACTTCTTCCGGCGGGAGCTGCTCCCTACAGTGGGGGAGGCGGTGGTGGTAATGATATGCTTATGACGATGATGATGATGAATCAAATGCAAGGCGGTGAAGCCATGCCGATGGCCAAGATCATGGAAATGATGAATCCAAAATCAAAACCGATAGCCCCAATACAGCTTGCCACCCCAGCACCGAAAACTCTGAAGGAAGCTCTGGGTTATTATGATCCAGTCATGAAGGAATTTATCCCACGAGGTGCCGGGTACGGACCTGAAATTATTCCAAAACCTACAACTCCTCCACCGGTCAAGGCTCAACAGATGACGCCTCAGCAGCAATTACAGGCTCAAGTACAACTTATGGCAAAACTCAGACAAAATCCACACTTTGCAAAAATGCAATCTCAAGTGCAAGCTCAAAATCCTCTTTTCGGCAAACTGCAAAGTCCTCAATTAGGTTTACGAGCGGAAAATCAAATGATGGCACGTCTAATGGCTCAACAGAACCAAGCTCGAAATTCACAAGCCGGAAGACCGACACCACTTTTATCGGGCGAACTTCGACAACAGCCAGTGACGTCACACGCCCTTCCAAAAAGAAGGAAGAAGTCAGTGGACGTTGTTGGAAAGGCTCGTCTTAAGGCGTTTGAACATATCAAGCGTTTACCTCGGGACGAGTTGCTGAAAGAATACTCAGTGTGGAGGATTGAAAGCGGCTTAGAATCGTCGAAGAAAAGTTTAAGACAATTTTTGAAATTTTTAAAGGGTAAAATTTACACAGTGGCGCCATTGTTTATACCGCAACAACCAATTATGTGAATTGAGATTTCTAGAGCTCTCACACGAAATTAAGAAACGAAAAATAATGTGAAGACCGTCTGAGCCTCCAGTAAAGTTCAAGAACAAACGAAGTTGATAAAGGTGCATGTTGTTATCGTTACATTATAAGATGTCGAACTTGCACACTTGGAAGACGTATAGAAAGAAAAAGATCAAATTTGAGATTGATGATACAAATTGATGATCCCGTTTAATTTCATCTCCACAATGTCGAGTTATAACAAACTGCGTCTAAAACCTTGACTTCCTTGGCTCTTTTCTTGTATCACGAAATGTGGCAATTTGATTGGATTGTGCTATCGGTGCTATCGGAGGCGACCTCTTTCCGAAAAGTAACTTTTAAAAATCTTATACAGCAAGTATTTCTGCTTGACGTTATTAGAAATGATTCCTTTAAAGGAATACTACCTCCTCTTAGGATGACCAAACTTGGACAAAATAAGCATATTTTCATCATTGGACTTACCTGATGTCATAACTATACAAAAAAATCCCTCTATAATCCGATAATCCATAAAACTTCTTAGTTTTTGATGGATTTATCATCAAATACATGGATTTTGTTGTATAGTTATGACATCAGGCAAGTTAAAATATAAATTTTATGCTGCTCGGGTAATATTCCTTTAAATGGTATGTAAAAATGTGTATCAAGTACCTTTAATGTGATATGGTTTGTGTATATTTCCAGATGTTAAAATATATGTATATATGTACATACAAAAAGTTAAAATTATTAAAATATATATTGCCTAAGTGTTATATTTCCGAGAAAGGAAGGGTTTGATTCTCATACAGGATTATGATGAAACAAAACTTCATTGAGAAATTTGTATACATGGTCTGGATCAGCAGAGTAGTTTTCTTATATTGAAATTCATTATTCACTCAATTGGCGGGCTGTTAGTCTGTTATAGGTGGCATTATGATTTTTATACGCCCACATTATAATGTGGACGTATATTGTCGTCACCCATGTCCGTCGGTCCGACGGTCCGTCCGTCGGTCCGTCTATCCACATTTGGCTTGTGAACGCGATAGAGACTACAGTTTTCATCTAATTCGAATGAAATTTGGTGTGATCATTTATCAATATCTTGGACAAGTTCGATATTCACAATTTTTCGATGAACGGTTTTTGAGTTATTGCCCTTGACTTAGCCAAAACGCGTCAAAATTGGCTTGTGAACGCGATAGAGACTACAGTTTTCATCTGATTTGAATGAAATTTTGTGTGATCATTTATATTGATGAGATCTTGGACAAGTTCGATATTCACGATTTTTCGATGAACAGTTTTTGAGTTATTGCCCTTGACTTATGCAAAACGCGTCAAAATTTGTTTGTGAACACAATAGAGAGTACAGTTTTCACCCGATTTAAATGAAATTTGGTATGATCATTTATAATGATGAGATCTTAGTCAAGATTGAATTTTTCGATCAACAGAATTTGAGTTATTGCCTAGGACTTAGTAAAATTTCATCAAAATTTGTTGGCGATAGAGGTGACAGTTTATGTCAGAATTTTGTTAAATAATGTGTGTTTGTTTAAATCAACAATATCTTGCAAAAATTAGATTTTTGGTATGATTTGACACAGATAGGTGACTGCCCTTGATATACTGAAAATGTATCAGGAAAGTGGGCGTATCTTGCTATGCAACCACTTATTTCGTAGGTTGAAATATTTTTGTTAAAAAAGGGACAGGTTTGTACCTGGCTGACAAAACATGGAGCACTCCTTAAAACTGGAGGCATTTCGGTATGAAGTCTGTTTTTAGCAGCTATTTCTGCTAAAGTCGATTTTCTCAAGTTTCATAGAAATCGTTTAGTGTATCCATCCACACTCTTTCAGTTTAGACAAAACAGTCGTGCTTGATAAAATTGATAAAACGCAAAACTTTTGTTAAAGACCTAGTCCATCATCGGCTTTTTCCCGTTTTTACAAGCCATTTTCGGAAATAAAATTCCCATTTCTGAGATCAGATTACAATTGGTCAATAGGGGCATAGAGCCATGACTTTGGTGACTGATTAAACATAGTGCGAGTTATCAAGATACGTCAAGTCAGATTGCAAAGTTTTGTGTCAATATCGCAATCGATATGTTCGGGATGCGCTGCAGCAATATGGGCATAGAGACATGACTCTAGCGATTGATTTAACATAGTATCTGATCTGTCTTAAAATTGACAATTTGGTCGAAACTTCTCTAGTCTGAATGATTCAGTAAAGAAAGTACGACGAAGATTCAGTTAGCCCTTCCATTTGCGTGCCAACCGCACTACCGCTCTTACCTCACCGAAAAATGCGTTAAAACGAGTATTTTTAAATTTTAGGCTATCAGATTTTAATAATAAGAAACGAAACTAGTCAATTTTTTTGGAATTTTTGATGACCTCAATATAATGGAATCAAAATTATTTTGAAAATAAAACGAAACAATAAATATTCATTTTCTTGCTGTAGGATATTTTTAGCGCATTTGCTTTATTTCCGGTAGATTCTGTAGGGGCGCCTTTAAAACCCACCCCTGCCATTTCTCCATTATCGGGGAAAAAGTTCAACACTTTGAATTTAATTTAAGATGGAAGGAAGTGTTGGAATTGTCTGGAATTTATAGTGAATACTAAGGATAGATGTAAGTTTTTCTCTGCTAAGTTTCACATAGATTGCACATTGGGAAGGGGTGGGAAAGCAACAGATTAATATGGATAAACGATTTTGGAGGCATGGTTTTATGAATATTAATGGAACCAAGTCCATGTATGGTTATATATTCTGGTGTCCGTTATTCGCCAAATTCCACTTTTTCCCTCAATGAAAAATGTTTGTTGACATACGCAGTGGATATTTTAGCAGTGAACCGGTTGTGTTTCTTTTTCGCTATTTTATCGGCACTTCCGGGTCAACATTCAACTAAGCTAATCAGTAATTTTATGCAAAGGTTACCATCGAAATTTGAGACTTCAAAACAATATGTTTTTTTTCAAGAAGTTATAGAACTGTACGAAAATAACATAATTCCTTCAATTATACCTCAAACAAGAAATTTGCCTGTCCTGAAAATTTGAGTATCCAAAAGTTGTACGTCTTGTTGATAGCGTCTATAAAAGAAAATATGATGTACGATAATTTTTGATCTATCAAGTCTTAAACTGTTCTTCAAAATGGAGGCTCTTAGAAAGAGCTGTTTACAAGAGCTCAATTCAAACAAAACATACCCTTTTCTTAAAGTATTCCCCTGACCTGTACACTGTTACATGAACAATTCCCGTTTCTGAGACAAAAAGGCTTTCAGATTGATCCCCGAAAACGAATATATTCGTGTCTGCTATGAAATCTCCTTTAGAGCCAGTAGTATCTAATGGTATCTGCAGTGACACGACACCACCTTGGTTTCTTAGCTTTATGAGCTGATGAGTAAATAAACACAATAGCTATCACCAGTTGTAGCGAATAAGAATAGCGATCACTTTCATTATTAGCAACTATAAACAACTGATGATCGCTATAGTGTCAAGGAGGACAAGATATATAGGGGAAAAAGAAAAGCATCAACGTAGTATCTTAATGTTTAATATACAATTATATATACAAAACAGTGGACAATGAACAGTGAACAGCCAGTCTGAGCAAAATGCAGGGGATCATCAATACCCATCTTCACGATGTCAATACCAAGTCCGTCTTATACCTTGACTGCAATAGCCACCTTTCTTGTATCACAAAAATCGGCGATTTTATTGAATTTCGTGCATTTAAAAACCAGTCATACAGAGCCCGAGACAGAGAGACTGTAAACGTTTCATTTGAGAACCCTGATTGGCTGTATTCGATAACGTACAATCAAACCAAATTGCTGCATTTCCGTGATTTAAGAAAGGTGGCCATTGCTGTCAAGGTAATACGACGCAGTTGGTCATATCCTGACATTATGAAGATGATCCATACCATGAACTCTGATTTTGTAATAATTTTGCAGTCATATTATTGACCAATCACATGTCTAGAATGGACTAGATACCAGGACCATGAAATAAGAGCTTTCTCACAAATGTCCAAAATTTGATTGTTTTGTTTCTTTTTTTCCTGTGAGTTGAGTCAAATTCAGATAAGACACGAAACGAAATGTCTTTAATTCAATTAGATTAGTGAACACTGCTACGTTTCGGTATGTGACCTATTTCTTCTTTGCCTCACCCAAAAATGGTAGCAAAAAGAAAAGAGAACTTAGATCGTTCCTTCGGTTGAAATTTCTTTGGTTGCAAGCTGAAAAAAAAAGAATATGCAGCTTTGCTTCACAGTTCTTCTGAATGGTGTTTACCATAATGACGTCATAGTCTAGACAAGGTATTGAATAGGAACCACAATTTGTCAAGAATTTGTCAAGAAATCGGAATGATATGATAAGTTGAATCTGTAAGTGAAGTGGCCGAAATACCATAAGGAATGGTTGAACCACACCACACCCTAAAAATCTTCCATTAACAGGCATTGGATAGACAGTGATTCAGAATGCAGGGGAGCTTATAAAGAATAGTTCTGAAGTGAGGAGCCCCAACCCACTTTAGTCCCCCATTCATCTAGTTGGGCCACTGTGCAAGTGTCCAATGATGTTTGTAATAGTGGCATCATAATCTGGTCATTTTTCCGGAACCACAGACGTTTGCCGGGACTGATACCCAAAGATGCAAATCAAGACTAGAAATTTGTCTATTTCCCCTCGCCCTTCCAAGAAAATGGTTAAATTTCAACCTCGAAAGTTGTCCCCCACTCCATTAAGTCAGTCTGGACCCTCTGTGTACCCCTATTCTCGAGAGGATTGTTTGCTATTCTTTAGTTACCTCCCTTGAAGTACTACAATACAAAATATTAGTAAAAGAGAGTTGAATAACCGAAATAAATATCAATTTCACCCAGTGTCGGATTAAATGGGGGGGGGGGGGGGGAAAAAATTTACGTAAAAATGGCTCAGCCACCGTTTCCAACGTATCCACTTTTGAGTGAAATGAGTTTAACGTTTAGCATTTCATTGACCATCCTTGTCAGAATTATACGACCAACCATGCAGTGTACAATGAGGAAACTTTAGCCACGAGAGTGGCAGTAGTCTAGAAGATATATACGAATGACACTTACGGTGTGCGCTACAGGTGTAGGCTCCAGGCTCATTACAACAGTAAAAACCTTGACATAACTGATTGTTCTGTTTACATTCATCAATATCTAAATTGATAAAAAAAAATTAACAAGAGTTGTGTCCCCTCTTTGGAGTTCACGGACTCACTTTCTTGTATATTTTATAAAAGTTCACAGACTGGAAATAGTTATGCTCAAACGTGCAACCATTTTGATTACAGATGAGATTGAGACATGTTGAAATTATTATGGAAGGGAGTAACTAAAACAAATGATTGTATTTTTAATTGGTACTATTTTATGGAAGGGGATCCATGACAAAACAATGTCTGATTTTGAAAAAATAAAAAGTAACTGTCTTACCTTCGCAAACACTGATGATATTGGATGGTTTAAAACCAGTAAAACACTGACAGAAGGGTACACCAGCTACCGTAATATTACACGTACCCGAAATACACTGAAACCCTGCACATTGTGGCACTGGAAAATGAAATGAAATGAATGGAATTTTACGTCCTACTTTTCTACACCTTATGGGCTAATGAATGATGAAAAACAAAGGATATTTAGCTTATGTTGCGTTCACCAGTAGATTTTGATGTGTTTTGTTTTAAGTCCAGGAAAATAGTCATGTCGAAATATTCTAAAGTGAAAAGAAATAGGTGAAACTATACCCGCTATACTATGACTTCTATTGCGTTCACATGCCTTTTTTTGTGTGCCTTAAGCCAAGAGGAATAACTGAATGTTACTTATGTATCTCAAAATGGAGATCAAGTGATTTAGCATTTCACAATTCTAAGCTATTACGGACTTATACCGTGACTGCAATAGACATAGTCACATTTTCTTGTAACATGGCAGTTTGTACAGATTTGATTGGATTGTACGCTAGCGAATACTGTCGAGGGCTCTGATTGGCTGTATTGGCTGGTGTACAATGTAATAAATCGATTCATTCCGTGGTGTACAAGTAGCTATTGTAGTCAAGGTAAATTATGAAGTTCGTAATAGCTTAACATTGTGAAGATGATGATATAGATGAGAACTTCAGCTTTTCTGAAATTCTGAAATTTCTATTTATATAAATGCTTCTGCCTTTCCTTTTCAGTAAACAAAGTGCGTTACGGAATTTTACGTCCTGTTGTTCTACAGCTAACTGAAAGAAAGGAAATTGAAATTTTTACATCCCATTCTCATGACGATGTAAAAACTTAAAATATAAATCTTTACTTACCATTTACTTGGGCATAAATAGTTGCTGTTGACGCTATCAAAATCGCCGAGAAAAACAGATAGTTCATATTGGCGTTTTCGGTTGTTCGAATGGAAATGGTGATTTTCGGTTTGGTTGGTAGAGTTAACGTTAACTGATATCATAGAATTGGGAAATTGGTGATTTACTGCAACTATTGTATTTATATACTATCTAAGATAGGTCATCTATCATTAGAGCAAAAAAAAACAGCCCCATGTATTATTGTATTGGACTGACATATTATTATGCGTTTTATGGGATTTGCCTCACTTTTTGAGTAAGTAGACAAAAGAAAATTTGATTTTGAAATGCCGATGTCGTTTTGTTATGAACACCATACTTCAAAATGACAAAATCGAAATAGATGGCCTTTTTTCAGTGTCCGAAAGTTGGTTTGTTATGCTCATTTATCGTGAAGGTCATCTAAGGACAATGGACATTATGTATTTCACTCATCGATGGTGTTAAAGGTTAATGAAAGGACATGGAGTTTTATGTCTTACCTTTCTGCACCTTATTATGTTACCAATACCAGTTATTATGACTAAATCATGTCCCGGACTTACTAAAGTCGTGTCCCAAACAAATGAAATGAATCTTGACATCCTACTGTTCTGTGTCTTATCAGGCTATAAAATATGAAATGGTGTTTACATGCTACTTTGTCCTACTGCCATACACCACATTTGGCCAAAATAAAGTTACGCTTCATTTTTAAATCATAATAATATACTAAGATGTTCAATATGACACATAAATCGGACTACAAATTGCTTGCAGATGTGCACGTTAATGATCTGGTTACTAGTGGATTAATGCTACGGGTAGCAAATTTTGGACATTGAACACTGCATAACATTGCCCGTCGTCATTATCCCGACCTGGCAAAAAAATTAGGAAGTAAAACTTCATTTCTTTTCAACTGGAGATGGATTACTAAACACGACAAAGATAATAAATTGCTACCTTAGATTTTTTAGAGGACAAAACTGTGTAGACAAAGGTCAATTTTCGAGCAGCTTTTTCTGCTGTTTTTTATTTGAGCGATTATGGCATTATACGTAACACTACGAAAATCGTATAAAATGGGCCGTTGGAGTATCAACTGAAATAGAGGTATATACTGTTGGAAAAGGGAAATTAAAACTGCGAAAGAATGAATTCGTATACAGTCTCTCTAAGCGTCTTAGTGTTCGTGGCATGTTTTTCACAAATATCTGGGCAAGGTAGGTAGCCTATTTCTTGGTATAGTTTGGCAGTGGCGTTTCTTAGAAGAATGAGTTGTTGGGAACAAGTGCTAGAGTGGAGGCCACAAAGTTGTCAAGGCCGGCTCACAGGCAATTTCTCACAATGATAACAATTTTGATAGTGGGAGGGGTGGTAACAACTTAAATTTTCAATGATCATGCCAAGCTGGTCGTTGGTGAACCTCCATATTTTACAAGGATAACAAATTAGGTTCTCATGTCTACCAGGTGGTCTTTGATCAAGCCTCTTCGTACTGATTTTCTTGGATTGTCCATTTACAACTGAGTTTATTGTAACATTAGTTGAAATGGCTGACATTTGCTCAGATGAGATTAACCCTGTTCAGTGTTTGCTTCACAGTAGCTACCGAGTCAATTTAATAAAACTATCTTATCAAGAAACGGGTTCTAATTAACACGCTGTGATTGGATGAAAATCCACATTAGGGAGGGACGTTTGGTAGAAATCTTCTAAGATTACTATGCAGACTAAAAATATCAGAAAACGAGAACGATACGAAATTGTAATCTGATTTTCAGCTTTCTTAATTGTTTAAGCTGACCATCTTCATTGAACAAAACGTGCAGACAAATGGGACACAACATTCTGTTATTTGACATTGTCCTTGCCTTCCAGCCGCCTGTAACTTATTCCCATGTGTGAACGGTGTATGTGAATTGAATGCAGCTGGTGTACCGTCCTGTAACTGTTATCCGGGATATAAACCTATTGCGACTATCCCACAATACTGTGTAGGTAAGTAAAATATTCGTCTTATAACTTCTTGCATTACCCCATTGAACATAAATCTACCGGTTTTGTGGTGACACGCTGGAGTCATTGCTTTTTTGTTGCTGCTTGATAATACTTGATAGCACCCAAAACACGCACACTCTCCTCTATCTATGTTTCAGACTATCTAATATATATATATAACCATCAAGGGTACTACGTTATTATATTGCAGACAAACCTCAAGTCAGGGTTTTGTTTTGAAAAAGATATGTGTATTGATTATGAATTTTTTTTTTATCATTTTAGATATAGACGAATGTCTGGAAAATCCAACCAATCCGTGCTCTCCATTTAGATGCTGTAACGAGGCTGGTAGATTTAGATGCACACGAGAAAGAAGTAAGTTAAAACGTTTTCCTTTGTTTTTTGATAACCAGTCTATAATTCAATAATTTCATGTATTGTTATGAATTTAGATTCTGTTATTGTGTGCATTTCTAAACGTGGATCATCCTGGCCCTTATAATCCACAGCCTGCGATTATATGAGAACGGGCATTCGGGCAACCCCTTTCGTATTAAAGATGTTTGTTGTTTTGTATTTTCAGCTTGCCAATATCGGCCCAAGTCTTCCTTTAACCCTCTGTATTTATTGCTATTGAGAGGAGGTGGAAAATAAATAATTTGTTGACACGACGACATGCATCAGCGAACTGTACAAGACAAATGAACGCGTTGCGACTTATTCATGATTTCTGTACTAAATAAAACAAATAATGTAATGTATTGTAATTTCTTAAATGGGGTGTAACCGTCAAAATGAATCACCTAAATTTGACAAGGTGTGGTCTTACCGTTCTAAGGGGTTCAATCCCGGCATAGGTCGAAATAATACTTTCTAATTATTCAACCTGGTTTCCCCCAGTCAGGGGACTGACAATGGGGACGTTTGGACGGTGTTGTCCTGGCAAAATTTCCATCGTTGCACACTTTAAGGAGTTGTCCGTCTGGCCAATAAGGTGCAGAAAAATGGGACGTAGAACTCCATTCATTTCATTTCATTTACTGTTCTAGATAAATCTGTGTTGTGTATGTCCTTTGGCGCATTAAGGGTATTAGGACGTAAATCTCAATTTCATTAAGAAATCCAGGGGATGTGGGACTAGGGTGTAAGGGGTTCGGCCAACTGGTTTAGTGGAGAGAGAACCTCACATAATCACATGCTGCAAATATTGCAGACTGAAATAGGTTGGGAACCACTGCATTAAGATATGTCCTGCATTTATGAAAAATATTCCTATAGTCTATACATCCAAAACAAGTGCTATGTTAAAAAAGTTTTTTCCCTCCTTCATTTGATGATTAAGGCACAGGAGGACGAAAAACTCCATTTCATTAGATATATTCGGATGTTAAAATCGTGTCCTCTCTTTGCCCTGTAGATCTAAAAATAACTGTGCAAAACAAGTTTTGAGTTGAAATAACATGATTCGAAAATTCATCATTCTATCAAAATAGCGGCGAACATCAAAAGGATGAACAAAACATACGGCAGGATTAAATATGTCTCCTCGGGCTATGAGTTTGGCCATTTGATGGCGATATTTTACTCTCTGTGACCAGGTAACCGCTATTTGAAGACTGTTATTGCCCTCAATGGTCACTCTCGAATATAAACGTTAATAAATTGAATTGGTTTAAAAAAACTGTTTACAAAATATCCCAAATAGGGTGACATTGAAAAATATCCTTTACTTGAAATTGCATAGAAAAATGTCTCAAATAACTAAAATTACATAGAAAAAAATATTACTGAAATTACATTGTCCTTCCTTCTGTGAATTACAAGAAAAAACGTTCTTAATAAGTGAAATAACATTGAGAAAAATAAAATGTGTACTTTATCTGAAAATATACCATAAGAAACATTGTTTTCTTAACTGAAAATTAAATGAATAAAAAAAAACGAAACAAATAGAGAGAGAAGGAGGAAAGGAAAAGTATATAGTAAAGTTGCGTCTTGGTTTATTTTCTGTCAGAGATACGTCGAAGTAACGAGTTGGGAATTCGTGCTTGTTTGTTTGTAAAGGCTGAGCATGCTGCAAAAGAGAATACATATTGTGGATGTTACATTTTGAAACTTGAAGGTGCCCTCACACCATGTTGCTAACCAGTTGCGTATGGTTACGAATAATCAAGCGGTCATGAGTACCGAACGCAACTCACAACTCAGTTGTTTTATGTTGGACCGTTTCTTTCACGGCGCCGATTGACTAATGTAACGCGTTTCATTGTACTCCCAGTCTCCCGTAAGCGATTAGATGTCATGACATGGGTCTGCATCACATTAAACATTCCTAAGGTTACGGCTCCTTTATCCCTTCCTTTTTTATCCAAATCTTTCTCATTCTACCATAATGATGTCGTCCAGTTCCATTTAGATTAAGATTATTTCGTAGCTCTTATTATACTCGAGTGACAAATGGACAAAAACGTTGGAAAAATACTTACGAAGACAGGCATAGGTACCGAGGAAATTACAGCATCCAGCTTGATTATTGCACAGAGTATCGTATTCCACACATTCGTCAATATCTAAAAAGAGAATGATTCAGGATATATAGCCCTCAGATAACGTCCTTGTCTATTCTTTTACGGTTTTTTCGTCTTGTGGATCACGTTATGTCGTTTTTTCCACGATGGTACAGTTTAAGTCGGGTTGTAGCTTTTGAAATTTTGGTCATCAGGCTGCTGTAACTTACAAATGTTAGAATGACCTTAAATCAAGTCACCCCGTCCTGTACAGATAGTGCTAAAATTGTTACCAGCTTAAAGTGTCTAGTGAATGATGAATGACCATTACCAAAAGGCTAGATAAAATACCAAGTGGTAAGATCATTATAAAGATGTTTAGAAACACGAACTAAAGGGGGATCCTCGAAACCCAAATCGCCACTGACTTACCTACACAGATTTGGGGAGTACCAGAGGGTTTATATCCTGGTTCACATTGACAAACTGCCTGGTTTAAAGCATTTACCGAACAGAATCCATTGATACATATAACAGTATCACACACTGAAAAGAAAAACATTTTAAAATTTCACCGAACAAGTCATGTCAATTTTTCATAGAGAATTCTCATTGAGAACGTACCAGTCTGTTTCATTTTGTCTGTGATTGCAAAATAGTACGCCCAGCATACTAACTGGTTAATGCAGGGCGACGATCTTAGTCCACATGTCTTTATTTATACTGTGTTTTAAATACTGTAAATTACAACTAAGAAGTATTTGACTTGTCAGCCAGCCATAGTCTGTAACTGTATAAAACCATATACAAAATTTAAATTTTTCTTTCTTGATTTCTTCTGGCGGCGACTTCTAGATCTACATTTAAGCTGAATGCCACCTAACATTAAAGCTTTTGTTAGACGATCATGTCTCAGTTTCTACTTACCTCCAGGGACAACTTGTCCGTTAGCCATCACAATAACAGCTGCAGCAACCAAAAGACCAGACTTGAAATTCATTTTAACTGATTATTCGATGGTTTCCAAAACGTGAGGATAATGCTAGAAGATGTTGTGATGTAATTCGCCAAGAAGATGCTACAAATCGTTCAGATGATGCTATAAGTAGTCGAGAGGATGCTAGCTGTCAATGTTGGTATCAGCAATTCACAGGGTGTTTATATAGCCATCAACAGTATATTTTTTTCATTTTTTCTCTGGGTTAATTAACTTGTAGATCATTAACATCTTAATTAAGATAATTACACGTATTGTGTAATACTTTTAACCGTAAGAGTTTTTAGTATCAGGTGGTCACGCTTGCATGAAATGAAATGGAGTATTACGTCCAACTTTCCCTTTCCATTAAGCTAATGGAATAAAATAATCAGTTTTACGGCTGATTTTTCGTTTCGTTTCTCTTATAAACAGAAATAAAATGGAGTATTATGTCCTACTTTTCTGTTTATAGACAGGCAACACCATGCAGTCAAATTAAAAATCTTTATTGCACTTAATGTGCCACACAATCGCTCATGGGTCAAATTTAAGAATGGAATGAATAGAATGCAAAGAAGAATAGATATCAGAATTGATTCCAACTCTGCAATTCTCAAGATACGTTCATTGGTGAAAAAAAATCTTGTTTTGAAATCTTAATTAACTTAAACCATTGACTCATTGACCCAAAATCAAAAACATTATAATTAGTAATTAGATATAGTAATTAAAAATATTTTTGTTTACACATCGAAAGACAAAAACTGGTATAGATTTAGTGTATAAATAGGAGATACTTGGGTTAGACTAGCATTCGTAAACTGCTAAGATATCTAATAGTAACAGAAGCATTTCTAAGCAACAACGAAGTTTCAATTCGACGATTTAAATCAAATCAACATGAACGCATTAGTAACTGTTTTCTTCTCCGTAGTTGGCGTTGTCGTTATTCAAGGTCAAGGAGTCAGTGGTAAGTATTAATAGGCTACTTTTTAGAATCCTTTCGACTGATAGTATTGGAGACTTTCAGAATTCCAGATAGCCCTTAGCGAAACATAAGTCGCCTAAATATTTACATTCACGAACCAAAAGCTCTCATTGTCGGCTATACGTATCAAGGTTCAGAATGAAAATCCCACTTATGGTAGGTTTTCAATGGAAATGTATCAGTGGAATTAAATGATAGCTCAAGGAAAGATAAATATTTAACTCCCTTCAAAAATCAATGTTTAAAATGAAAATCCGACGAATAGTAAGTCTGTAATTAAAGAAAAGCGTTAGGTATGGCGAAAGCCTAGTAGAGCAATCCAGCAATAACTACTCAAGGGTACTGTGTAATTTCTATAAGCAGCAACACAGTTGAAGATTAGATACGGAAACCCGTTTCCACTCTTAGCTTGGATTTTGTAAAGTATGTAAACTAGTGTCCAAAAGAAACGATACCGACTTATTTTCAAAATTGTTTTTTACTAAGTGAATTGTCTAATATGAAAACATGCCAATTCGTATTGCACATCCCAAACACAGCATAGTCGATAAAAATACTGGGAACACGTGATCACTTCCGGGAAAAAACGTAAATTTCATGAAAGTGACATTTCCCTCTCTAGCATGTTCTGCACGTGTATAAAAACTGTATATAACGGCTGATCAGACACGTTGATATCACAGCAACAAAAAGAACACAAGATATGCCACGTTTGACAGCCATCGAGAGAGAGAGAGCCGTTTGAATGGTCCAACAAGGAGCGACACACGTCGACGTCGCCAGAAGGTTGGGCTGCGCACGCATCACTATCACCAGGTTGATGCAGCGGTTACGTCAGGCAGGTCAGACGTCAGACAGGCCCAGGAGTGGAAGACCACGAGTAACCACGCCCCGTGAAGATCGTTACATTCGGGTATTACACCTGAGGAAACGCACCGTAACAGCGACGTCCACGGCGGCTACAGCACTGGGACACAGGATCAGTCGACAGACCGTCTACAGGAGACTACGGCAGTATGGTATCCGGCCACGTCATCCCTACCGTAGAACGCTCCTGACGCCTCGACACCGGAACAACAGACTGATCTGGGCCAGGCGAGTTCGACGTTGGCAACGGCGGGACTGGGCACGTGTTATGTTCTCTGATGAGAGCAGATTCCTCATCTTCAAAAACGATGGACGGCAGCTTGTATACCGACGATTTGGTGAACGTTTGACGCCTAACTGTATCCAACAGGTCCGGCTGTTTGGAGGTGGAGGGTTAATGGTTTGGGGTGGCATATGTGGTGACGTCAAAACGAGGCTTGTCGTAATTCGTGGAAACCTGAATGCACAGCGTTATATTGATGACATCCTACGGCCTGTTGTGGTGCCCTTTATTCAGCAACAGCCCCGTGGA